CACAGCCGAGTCCGTTTAAACATCCAGAGTGCCAGTGATAGAATGAAAGAGGCATACGACATCAAGGCGGAAAATGGAGGATTTCAACCTGGAGACCTAGTTTGGTTATACAACCCTCAGCGCCGTCGTGGTTATTCACCGAAGCTGCAGACTTCTTGGGAGGGACCGTACGAAGTCATGGATCGAATAAATGACATCATCTACAGGATCAGGAAACAACCAAGAGGAAAGCCGAAAGTGATCCATTTCAACCGATTGGCCCCTTACGCTGGAAACAATGATCAAATAGACGATGCTAGAGTAAGGAGAGTTAATCCGCCGGAAAACGACTTGCCTTTTGAAGACTTCATGTATTTATATTCGAGCGGTAAAAAAGCTCGGTATGGTGTCACTCGAGAAGAGCAAAGAGATCTGTTCACGGTTTCGGCCGATTACTCCCTGGCTCACTGTGTTGCGGAAGACCTAAGGATGTCCAGGGGAATAGCGGTTGTTTTTAAAAACAAGTTTGGACGGATCGACGAGCTACGAAGGCAGAATCCCAAAGTTGGAGAGGTGCTTGAAATGGTGGATAATGAGCAGATAGGTAACCGAAGTATCTTCTATCTGGTAACGAAGCAACTCTCCAATCAGAAGCCAAATTACCGTGACGTATGGAATGCCTTAAATAAATTGAGGGATATCCTTTTGTCCAAGGACATCATGAACCTGGCGATACCGAAGATTGCTTGTGGACTTGACGGCTTAGACTGGAGAATAATTAGAAGTATGGTGGAAGTTATCTTCAGATTTAGTGGCATACACATTCTTGTCTGTTGCCACAACCCTAAAAGAACATCCGGAAGGAAGACCGTAGACTGCTACTTCTATAGGACGTCACAATGCAAGTTTGGATCTCTATGCAAATATCGCCATGGAACTGAGGACCATTTTCGGGACGAAAATGTTTTAAGACGGGGGCAATGTAGCGAGTACCGCTCTGGATATCGGAGTGATGACTCATCGCCGGTTAGTCATCGCCGATGAGTCATCGCCGGTGACTCAGCGCTCGAACAATCGAGAGTGTGGAGCTCGCTGGAATGTTCCAGAAGACCTTGGCGCTGAATATATAAGAAACGGAGCAGCACACGGCAGTCAGTTATGATTTGGTACTCGCGGCGAAATAAATAAATATAAGTGCAAATAAATAGACTCTTGAACAATAGTGATATATAAATAATTAGTAGTTAAGTGTTTAGTTAGTTTTTTAGTGTTTTAAGTGTAGTTAAGTTATTAAATAAATAGTTTAGTTCGTTAATTAACCAGTGCGTGTTTTAATTCACACTACGAACAGTTAAAAACGTTACAATATGTTAAAAAACATACAGCCAATCTGTTTGCTTCATTGCTAATGTTTGCCATTGTTCCTTCCAGCTGCTGCATTCTTTCTATGTCCACTTTCATGTGTTGAAATATGTTTCTTAGGGCTGCTTTTTCTTCCAGGTATTTTTTACGTTCTCGTTGCAAAGCTAGTTTAAAATTCGTTTAAGTGTTGCCTTGCAATAAATGTACCTTTATGTACATTTTACTTACTCAATAAAGTTTGATGTTCCATGTCCAACTTTTGCTTTAACTTGGTTAATTCTTGATTGAGGACTTGCGCATGTTCCTTATGTTTTATCGATTGTTGATGATATTTATGTTGATTTTCAATTAATGCTCTATTTTCTTGTTTAATGGAGTGTAGCTGGTCCAAAAGCGATTGTTTATCTTTTAACAACTTCAATTTAAAAAATAAATAGGTTTTATTTTTAATAATTTGCTATAATTTACCTGATAATATTCAGATTGAACCTTCATCATGGTTTCTTTACAAATTTTTGAGTGATCTCCACTGCCTACGTTCTTGACAATTTTTTGCAAATGTTCCACTTCTTTGTGTAGTTTGTTGTTTTCCCTGTTTAAGTTTACCATTATGGTTGTTTTATCATCTAATTGTTTTTCTTTATCAACAATCTAGAATTGATCATTGATTATTGGCTACAAAACTTTTATTTAAAAAACTTACTTCATTACTAATCATCTCATACTTTGATAAGAGTTCACTGTAAGATTTAAAATGTTCCTCCAACTCAATACGATTTTGATTACTTTTTTCTTCATAATTTTTACATTCATTTTCTAAAGATATAATTTTTTCTTCATAAAATGCCATATCCATGGAATATATCGACGTAGTTTCGCTTTTCTTATTATCCAAGTGTCCCACTTCCAATTTAGTTTGCTGTAAGCTCTCTTTTAGGGTTAAATTTTCTGAAGCCAAATCATGCCTGAAATTGCTCAATTAACAATTAATTAACTGTTAGTTAACAAACCTACATGCTTCTTTCATGGCTATTAATTTTTTCAGCAACTGATATTAGTTCCCTTGAAAACTCGCTTATGTATGAACGACATAAATTTAATAAATCAGCCGAACTGTTACCATGTGCCTTAAATATATTAAAAACTATTAATACAACTTTTAAATTATTGCCCTTTTTATTGTTTTTCAAACAGCATGTTTATCCTGGTGTTGATACGAGTATATTATTTTATATAAAATTTGAAATACCAGCATCTCGCTTAGGACGCAAAACATGGTTTCTATGGCAGAATAGTTTTTTATGCGATATAATTTTTTTTAATTAGTTGAAAATGATGTAAGTGTGTGTATACAGGTTGTATACAGGTTGTATGTATGTGTATACAGGTTGTCTGTTTTTGTGGTATCTCTTTTATCTTATCTCGACAGTTTTAAAAGCTAGGAACAAGATTTTGCTAGATTTGCATGTGTAAAGAAAAATATTCGATCAATTGACTGGACGTCATTGATCTGTCTATTCCGCCATGATGGCTGCCGTTTTAATAAACCACGCTTGTAAATCGAAATGATGTAAATTTACGTTTGAACCATCTCGCATTATAATTTAGATTCTAAATTATAAACAATTTGTACTTGATTTTATCTAATTGAAAGGGTAGGGTTGTACTTTATTTTATCCAAATAAAATTTTAGGGTTGTACTGGAATTTATCTAGCTAAATGTCAGTGTTGTACTTGAGTTTATTTAATTATTTTAATTATTAATTAAAGGGGATTTACCATAAACGCTGTGTAAATTAAGTGAAATTGATATTGATTTTCTTGAATACGGGATTTATTAAATTATTATTGTGTGTTATAAATTTTAGTGTTTTATACTTTTAACTCTCTCCCATCATCCTTCATTTTGGAAGGTTTTATGAGAGATATTTAAGTTCAGACGTGATTTATTGTCTTTTATTTACTGTATTTCTTATTTCCCTTTTAATACTTTTAATACCGTAAGTATTTATTTTATTTATTTGTCGTAATTTAATATAACATTTGCCGTGGTGTTATATTTCATTTTATCACTGGGGTTGTAACTTTTACAGATTCTTTGCTGGGGGGGGGGTTATACTCTACAGTACCTTTTAGTTATTTTTATTTTTGTAAAATTTTTATTAGAGTATTTCATTCAATTTTAAAATTTGATGACAGACAAGAAAAAAACACAGTGAGATCCAAAAGGGTCTTTAAATTTGATTTGCCCAGTTGTTTCCAAATAATAATAAAGGTATCTAGGGGTAAATGTTGCGTTTTTTTTCTTTCGAAATACTTGGATTTAAGTTTCACTTTCGAAATCGCAATCGAAAAACATTCCGACAGTTTTTTATGTCTGTCATCAAATTTTAAAATTGAATGAGATACCAACTTTGTAAAAAAATAAATTGTTATTGTAACCAAACTAATAAATAACTTCCAGCCAGTTTGGGCTACCAAACGTGAATTTATAGTTGGACGTAGACGTAACGTAGACGCACTGCAAAAAGATCAAGTATAGAATTAAGGTACTGGACGTAAACGCAGACGTAACGGAAACGGAACAAAAGAGTTGTCCAGAGAATTTCTAGAGTTGGCAACACTGATTCTTTGTGCTCTTACTTTTTCTATGCTGGTTTCTCCATTTCCTGTTTTGCTTAAATTTGTTTGTTTGCACACTTAATTCAATTAATAATTACAAATTGTTTAAGCCTTTAATACTTTAATGAACTTTAAAAATTTATATTATCAGAATTATCCAGAATGGGTTACTTTGAAATTCGCTCTATTAAATAAAGCGGTCTGGCCAAAGGGGCATAGTCTATTATGGTCTCTAGCCCCAATTAAATTTAAAAAAATGCACATTTATAATTTTCCTTTTAAAAATAATATTTTTAAAGCATAATTTTTATTGTAATATCGCTTAAATATTTTTTAAAATTAATAGAAAGGCTTACAACTACGCATGCCCCAAAATTCCGCTGTCGATTTATACTTTAAATATTTTCCTTACGTGTCCGTTGCGTCTACGTTACGTCTACGTCATAAATCAGGATTTATAGTTGGACGTAGATGTAAGATAAACGCACTGCAAAAAGATCAAATATAGAATTTATGTACTCTTATTTATAAATGAACGTAAACGCAGACTTAACGGAAACGGAACAGAAGAGTTGGTCAACTTTTATCTTTTCCGTTCCGTTTCTTGCGTCCGGACAATCAAAAGAGGTAATTATGTGTGCACAGCGGGTTGTCTTACTATGCTGTCACTTGTTCGACATTATTCTAAAAATGTTGGGAAATAGAAAGAATAGTACAAAGAACTCATCTTATAAGACGTTTCCTCCCACTCGTCCATTACAATTATCCTCGTTCGAAAAAAAACTAAGTATAATTTGTAGGTTATCCAGCGCAAAAGTAGGCATGCCCAAAAATTCCGTTCCGTCGATTTATAAATTATATACTTTCTTACAGTCTGTTTTTTACGTATCCAGCTTTATAGAAATATTAGGTAAATAATTGACCGTCATTGACTGTAAAAAAAATAACACATGAAAAATATAAATATCAAAATATGGAGTTATATAAATCTAGATTTTAAAAATAGTCGTAGATATCTTTGGTTGTGTTATCTTTATTATTTTTATTGTCAAATTGACATACTGACTACAACAAAAAATTAAAATGTTTGGCCACATAACTTATAAAGAACCGAAACAATTAATTGCTTTATCTGCTAAAGAAATAGAGAAGGTCTTTCAATCTCTGGACATCTCTATTCTTACTGCAAGCCATGCGGAAAATCTTATGACTCCGTTTATTTCAACTATAGTGGGAGAAATATTTAGCAAGACATTAGAAAAAATGGTAATTTTACGTGAAATGTTCAAATTCCATGGTAATTATCCACAAGAAGATAATATTGTTTACAAAAGTCTAAGAGAACGTTTTGGATCGCGAGATGTAGAAGATAATGTTCCTTTGGATGATGCAAACTACTTCAAATTGCAAAAGAAAATAAATTTTTTGATGTTAATTTGGAGAGAGGCTTGTCAAGAAATAAAGGAATTCGGAACTTACTTAAATGCGCAGGAAATGTTTTATGTTCTTAATAGAATGACCGAAGACGAAAAAGAATTGATGATTAAAGAACCAAACAACAAAAAGAAAATGATAGAACTAAGAACGAAAGTAGCAAAGGATAAAGAATATTATACTAAAGAAATCGAGGATATAATTAAAAAAATAAATGTTTTTAAGTATACTTTAGAAGATGTCAAAAGTATACAAAATAGGTACTTATTTGGCATACATTAATTTAATTACTTTGTAGCATATTGTGCCTATGAACTAAACTATTTAAAAGATTATGAAGATGCTCGAGTTGAACAGAATATTGCATTTTTAAAAGATAAGGAAAATAACTCTGAAAACGAAATTAACAAAATAAGAAGAAGAGTAAACGATGAAAACCTAGTACACGAATTAATAAACACTTTCATAGAAGAAAGTAGAAACGATTTTATAGAAGACATGGAAAAGTGGATGAAAACTTACGATGAAGAAGTGGAAAGGCGAGATCAGGAAATTATAACCATTAGGGGTAACATTGACAAAATATTGGTTGATATACAAGAACAAAAGAAGCAGTTCGAGGAAAGACAGAAGCTAATCGAAGAGTGGCAAGAATATATGAAAATTAAAACTGAAAAAGAAAATCGGGAAGCGCGGGAATTGTGGGCTGCAACCACTTTGCAGGTTTCTTAAATAATTATGTTATTATATATCAAAAGTTGCATTATTAACTCTTTTAGATTTGGTGGAGATTTATGATGAAACACCGGAAGTTAGGTCCGTATAGGAAGGGTAAAAAAGGAAAGGATAAGAAAAAGAAGAAGAAGAAATAACTAAATAAGATATTTAAATATTTTATTTGTATAGCTATGAAGAAGTTTAAATAAAATTTTAAATGATACCTTTAGTTTTGACCAGTTAATCGATGTTGGCATATCTTTAAATTGTTTCTTAATATTATTAAGATCCCCTATTAAACTCTCTCCAACTTCCATTGTTTCCTTTAGCACTTGTTCGCTATTTTGTAATTTTACATTTAAAGATACAACTTCTAAATTGTAATCTATTTTGGATCTTTCTAACTTAGCTAAATATAAAACGATAATATTAAAAATTAAATTTAATTTGATATTTTTACCCTTCAAAAATTGAATGTCTGTATTTGAAGATCTAAGTTGTTTATTTAAACCATCGCATTTTCTTTGAGAAAGACTCAAGTCATTTTCATACTGTTCTAATTGTTGGCTGTACGTATCCAATCTTTGTTGAAGTTTTTCATTGTGATTTAAAACATAATCAAGTTCCTTATCACAATCTATGTAAATCAAGTTAATATAATATAAAATTTACAAAACAAAGTGGTCTTACTGCATTTAAAAGTATCTTCCAAATCCTGCATAGACTTATACTCTGTGAAGGCATGTAACTTTTTTATTGACTTTTCGTGTTTTCTGAATAGAGTTTCATTTTCGCTTTGCAATTTCCTATTTTGTTTGACCATGGCGTTTAGCATATCTTGTAAAGCTCGTTCTTGGCTTCGGACTACTTCCAGTTGTTGAACCCAGATTTGGTTTATAACCGTGCTCGTTTTAAAATCAACATCACATTGTAGTTGGGCGTGTTTTGAGACAATCTCCACTAAAATTATTTTTACCAGCGATTATATTTGGAACCACGTTATTGCAAGACATTGTTAATCAAATTAAATACATTTTTTATTGGAGACGAATTTTTAAATTAAATTAAAAGGTCAGTACAATGTTCATATAAACTTTTCAAATATTAGCGTTGAGAAACTATTTAATACTTTTGTATTTTTGTATTGAGATAATAAAATAATTTTTACATTTAGTATTATTTTACAAGAAAGGCACTTTATTTTAACGATTGTATAATATTTGACAACTGTCAACTAACTTCAACCCATGACTAAAAACCTGTTGCTAACCCGTGACTAAAACACCATAAAGCTACAACTTTTCAATGTGTATTTAAAAGTTCTCTTAGTGTCATGGAAAAATGTACGATAATTGGCGTGTTAAAGGTGGAAGTAGAATACTTACACAGTTCACTTTGAAAAGTATGATCTCTTATATATTTTGTTATAATTTGTATTAAATTATCTTCACTTTCTTTAAGTTGTGTGGCTAATTCCTGTATTTGTTTAAAATTAATTTCAGAAACTTCATGAATATGGTTTTTTCTATAATAAATTTTTAACCAATTGTACGAAAATCAGTATAATCTAGAATTACCTAAACTGTATTATTGTATTATCATCACTTCTCGTAAATCTAATATTTTCAATTTTTTTCTTGCTTTCTATGGGTAAGGTAGCAAATGAACTATGTTCTGGTTGAATTGCCCTGGGAGTATTATTTTCAGATTCATTTAGCTAAAAGTTGTTAAAAAAATTTATAAGATATTTAAATAAATATATTAGGGTACCAACTTTATTTTTGCTTATTTCATGTGTAACCTCTGGAATTTCATTAAAATAAGATCGTGTATCTAATAAATCATTTTTCATTTCAATTTCGTATGTCCCACCATCAGATTGAATGGCAATGGATGAGTTACTTTTATCTTCTGAAGGCAAATTAAACTCTTTAATTGTTGTATCTGAACCTTTAGGTTTTTTACCGCTGATTACTCTTTTAATAGTAGCTATAATGCTACCAGATTTTTTTGATTTTAAGCTTATCGTACTAAAACTGCTTTTTGATGAACTTTTTTTCGGGTATGAAGTTGGAACGGTTTTACTTTTCTCATGTTTTGATATTTTCTACAATAATGTATTGTTTTAAAATATTTCGATAGTTTTTTATACAAATTACCTTAAATAAATTATTACTTTTCATTTTTATAAATACAAAAAGACGTATACATGACGTTTATATGATTATTTTTTTAATTAATTTAAAGTTTTGTTGGTATTAGATTTTGTGGTTAGAGCATAGTAATAGTTATTTATGTATCAAGGCATGTCGTATTTTTTATCACGAATGTGGAAATTATTTGCAGAGGCGAAAGCCCAGGCAAATAACCACGTGAGTGAAAAAATTACTTTAATGCCGAGGTGCATATTAAATTTTATCCGAAATCACATTTAATAATACTGATGATCAAATCAAATATCATTTGATGATCAAATCAAATGTAGGAAATGTAGGAAGTGTCTACGTATCATAGATAATAAATCATACTACGTATACTGTTTATTGCAACGTTTATGATATATTTGCCCGCCACGGCGATTAAAATGTATAATGGGTTGCATACAATACTCTCTATTAATTCGGCAGTAAAGTTCTACTTTACTGCCGATTTCTTTTACGTTACTGCCGATTGTGGACTACTTTACTGCCGATTTCGGATAAACATTTTTTTACTGTGCTTAGAGTTCCTAGCAAATTTAGACTTATTATTAAATTATGGTACGTTGCAGCCAAAAACTTATAACTTAACGTATACTGTAACTGTATCCTTGGTTGTAGCAATGCTTATATTTTGTATTTTTTTTGAAATATTTTGACAAAAAAACAGGACCATAAAATTAAGGGTAAAATAATAAAAACATATATTTATAGATTTCTTTATTAAATAGCATAATGGCTAAAATTTAACTTTATACATATCTACAAGATCGTACAGAGATATTTAAAGGTAATAATAACTATAAAAGTATGTAGGTCTAACTATGAATGTACTAAATATTTTAATAAAATGTCCGAAATTTTTATTTGCAGCACCACACCAAAATTTCAAAGAGTATTTAATGGACGTCACAATTCAACTTTAAGTTCTTTGGCACCAAAAAATATTTATCACGTATGAAACAAACCGTCTGGTATGGTATTTTAATTTGAGCTTATTTATTGACGATTTATTTTATTCGTTTGCAATAATTTTATAATTAATTATGATAAACTAATAATAAATATGTTATACAGCAGTCAAGCTTAAAATGCAAAATAACTTCCAAAGTATTTATATTAGAAAAAGCAAAATCTTTTTATATTGCAATAAAGATTGGTTAGTACTGTAAAATAAGGACTAAAGTTTTAACTTTTTAAAATATAAAACTTTAAGAAACATCAAGAATACTTAAAACTAATTTTTGGCAGTTAATAAAATAAAAAATTAAACATAATTAACCTAATAAATTAAAATTAAAACATATTATTTTAGGGCCACTACTTAAGTAACAACAATACATTATTTGGTTAACATTTTCGATATGTCTAAACATGTAATAAATAGAAAATATTTCCGTGTTATTTACAAATATAATTTTATATGAGTATAAATAGTTTTTCATAAGACATCTAACATTTTATGTTTGAAAAATTATAAAAGTAAATATGCTTTACTATAACAAAAATTTCGATTAACAATTATCAAGAATACGCTTTAGAAATTTAGTTGAAATCTTTGTTATATAAATTGCTTGTTTTTACACACTCCTAAGAATGTAACACACCTACACATTACAACTTGCATTACTTTGTACAATTAAGAATATAATGAAGAATTAAATGAAAATTTAGTTAGGAGCATGATACAAATAAGCATGGGAGGAGCATAAATACCTTCTTATTTGTATCATGGTTAAAAGTATGTAAAAATAATCATGCTTTTTTATTAGCATTACATTTCTAATTAAAAATATACACAGTTATTACAAAACGTCATCATCACTGGATTTGTTAATACCTTCCAATTTATTGTTATTGTTTTTGTTTCTTTTCATGGCAGCGTATATGGAGGCTGCTTTATAGTTTATCGGGCCATAATTGTCGTAATCTATGTCGGCGTACACGAGATTACCGTAATCTGGCCTATAAGGCTAAAAAAAATAAGTTATAAATTTTCTTTCACAATGGTCATCAAAAAATGTGATATTGCAAAACTGCTTAGGAAAATTGCGAATAATGTTTTTATGCTGTGTTGAGGTTTCCAATCTTCGATCGATTCGATCAATTTCGATCAATCTCTATCACGATCCCTGATGCAGAATTTCTGACTGCTTAAGCTTATCACAGACCAAGACTTAAATCAAATTGAGCATGCGTGAGAATAGCCTAACTAAAAAAAAGTAGTGCCAGAGTCCAGAAACTCTCCATGGAACCATAGTGGAACTAAGAAGGACGTTGTTTAAAGAATTAAGACACCGGAAAAGTTATCCAATCCAGTGGCGGCTCGTCGTATGAAGCAACTGAGGCCGGGCCTCACATGTTAAAATTATAATTTAATTTGAAATTTTCGATACATTACTTACTTAAATATAAAACGTTTTAAAACTAATTTCCAGTCATTAAAAGTATCAAAACATAGAATAACCATTAAAGTTTAAAATATTTCCTTTAAATTTAGCGCGCACCCCTTCCAACTTTAATTCTAAACGCTTAAATCATTGCACTACCGCATAATAGGAAAATAGTAATCCCATAAATTTGCGCTTCATATACGTCACACATTGCCGATACAACATAACGCTCCCCACCGCTGCACGGTCTAATAGACCGGGTCGCATTTTTCCGTCTCCTATAGGGCTAGCGCAACCGAGTGCGCTAATCGTGTAGGATACGGAAGCAAGACCTGTATCTCCGTTCCCTAAGTGGTTAACGCACCGCCTGTAATTAGGTATTATCACTAGAGGCTAAATGTAGCAAAGTATTTCTCAAGGTTATGACAATTAGCTGTCATTTTGGTTATGCAGGTACACTGCATTGTGCCATACCAATGGGGCGGGGTCGGTTGGGTTGGGTTGTTAAGTTTGGGTTGGTTTGGTATGGCACAATGCAGTGTACCTGCATAACCAAGATGACAGCTATTCGTCATAAACTTGAGGAATACTTTGCTACATTTAGCCTCTAGTGTATTATCGCGCTATAACGTGCATACAATGATTCGCGCCTTTAAGACATACGTCAATATGTTTGTTTGGTTATTATTATTATTATTTTATATGTACATACAAAGAAAGATCACCTAGAAAGCTCATTGCAGAGTGTTTATTCGTATGCGGTGCGTTAACCACTTAGGGAACGGAGATGCAGGTCTCGCTTCCGTATCCTACACGATTAGCGCACTCGGTTGCGCTAGCCCTATAGGAGACGGAAAAATGCGACCGGGTCTATGCGTGTTTATAGTTTCTTATTTCTGTTTAGTCTTTGCCTTAGCGTTAAATTGGAAAGTTGTGATAAAAATGCAAGCGTTATATATGTTATTGTGTTGTGAATTCATGTAAAAATAATTCAAATAATTATAAAAGATCATTTTTATTTTAATATATTATTATATTAACACACAAATACCACAGTAAAAATCACAAAAAATATAAGTAAAAATATTCATGTTTTTTTATAGTTCAGTGTTAAATCGTTGACTTTCATATACCTACTGTGCTGTACATTATTATTTTGTTGTTGTGCGGTTGTGCCTTTATTAATCTAAAAATAATTATTGTAAGATGGTAAGAGGTAAAAATGAGCAGTACCTCCTGGGTAATGTGGAAACCTGCTGAAGGAATAAATAAAAATCCCACCTCGTCCCGCACTTTTTGTATTATTCTAGCTAAATTTTGAAAATTCTTCTCGTGAAAGAACATATTTTAAAATAATATATTTTTATTATTTAGATTCTGAAGTGCTCCAAAAACGCGAGACTTTAAAAATTCCAAAAAAAATTGCCTGCGGTGCCATATAGCGGTTCATGGGCCTCACCTTCATAAATGGTCACGAGCCGCCACTGATCCAATCCATGCGTAACATTTTTCATGTCACATGCAATTGAAGACTTTCTTTCAAAAACCGCACTTGTCACAAAATGCTCAAATCGAGCTAAATGCGCCATCTAGTAGCATATCAGACATTTTTTAAAGTTTTTTGTTTATACTGAAAAATGCAGATTTTTGATGTGTCGTTTTTGAAAAAATGTCTTCAATTGTATGTTAGTATGTGCCTATGTAATAATATTCGTATCAGATTTGAACCCTTTAGGGCCAACCCAACCCTTTAGGGGCAACATCTACTGTTAGGCTAGATTTTATAAATCTTTTTTTTTCATTTTATATGGGCCACCAAAATATTTTGACTATTTGGCACGCTGCCAAATAGTCAAAACTATAGAACTAGCAACAATTTAAGTATTTGTTACGTATATGGGACTATTGAAGAAACTTTAAAGTGTTTTGCGACAGTCGCCGGTCTCTTTATATTACTCTTTTATTACTAAGTTACGACTAAAGTGGGGAACAATTATTGAGTTCCAAAAAGGTAGCAAATATGTAACTAGCTATAAACCCTGCTACTATTTGGAACGTAGCTGCTACGTTACTAGAACGTTCCAGTATCGTTGCTAGAGCGTTATAATTACTTTTATTTATTTGTTTTTACTTCTATATTAACTGTCTTTGTCAAACTTATATTAGATTATACTATCCCTCCTTTTTTAAATGGAACCACTACGGACTTGGCTTTTCAATATCGTCGTTTACTAAATATGTACTGGTAGTTTATAACTTCCAGAATAACAATATAATGTTTAATTAGGCAGGTAAATTGATAAACCCTTTAAATTTTACTGTTGAACTTATGAATTTAGTTTTTGTAAAATAAATGCGCTTCATCAATATTTAAGTATAAACAAATTATTTATTTAATAATGTTTATAAATAAAAAAAATTTAATATTTATTATTAATTTTTTGATTTCATTATTAATACCGTCTATTGCCAACAAAGTTACTATTTATTAAAAAGTAAACAACCATTTACAAACAATTAAAATAATTTATTATTTACATTACCACGTGGTACTGTACAGTAAAAAATGGCCGATAAGAAGCATTTTCCTTTGAAGTAGTTTTCGCTACTTTAAAGTTTTTTCCACTTTACGGTTGTTTTGGTTAGTACCATAAACGTTCCAAATACTAAAATAATAACTTTTAAGTTATTAACTTTGTAGTTTTTAACTCATGTTCCAGTTTCGAGATTTTAACTTGGAAAGGGACTACAAAGTAAAAATAATTATAATGTAATCTTTAGGTAGCAACCGAAAGTAACTGCTACAAATTAAATTTACTTGAAAGTTTTTTTTACTTATAACACCTTTTTTAAAGTTGCAAAGTCTTCTTGGGGGCAACCAAGTTTTACTTAAATGTTTATTACTTTATAGTAACCATTTAAGGAAAAATTAAGTTACTGTTACAAAATATTGCTATTTAAAAGTTAAAATTACTTTTAAGTAAAAATTAAAGTAGCTGTTTAGTATACTTAACTAATTTAAGTTATCACCACTTTGGCAATGGTTTTTGGAACCAAAAATGCTGCTTGGGAAAGAAATGATGGTAAAAAACTAAAGCGTCCAAAATCGCAATGATCGCATTGAAAATATGGAACAAGTTGCTACTGAAAGAACCAACTTCTTCTTTGACTTCCTTATTATTAAAGGAAAATGCAAAAGAAGAATTCCTGAAAGAACCACCTCAGAATTTTCCCATTTTTTAAGAATAGCGTAAAAAGTGTTGTAAGATGAGAGTTGTTAATGATACTGCCGAACGGGGAATCACCGGAAAAAGTCAATGTTTTCCGATTTCAAAAAGAATTTAGTGTAGGTACTCATTTAGATGTCATAAAATAAAAAAACTTGTGGAAACGAACTACTTAAAACTTTTATTTTTTGGACCACCCTAATGTCACTACTTTTTATTATACATATTTAAAACCACGGTTTAAAAGGTTTAATTTATAAGCCATTTCCTAAAGTAATTTTGGGCATATTCACATTTTTCGCAAACCGTGTCTTAAAATAAAATATGAAAAACATGTGTGTGGGATTTAATTAAAATATAAGTCCATTATAATCTGGTGTTAAGCGCAAAGTTAGTATAGTGGAAAACCAGATAATAAAAATAATAAATAACGTGTATAAAAGTTAAATGGCTCAGCAAAAATGGGTCTAACAAAAATAAAAATGTTCTATGAAAAAGAACTAAATAAAAATATTTTTATTTACAAGAGCATTACCTTAGAAAATATATGTATCACTACCAGTAGTGGTTGTCCCATTAGTCTAAAACAAATTTAGAAATATTAGACGGAATTTATTAAAATGCACGGGCCTTTTTAAAGCTTGGTGTAATAAAGGAAAATGTATTTTTTCTTTTTATATTTAAGAATTTGACGGTGTTTGCAAAAGATTCCTTGGTTTTGTCGGACTAAAATACATACCTAAGTTAGAACAAGGGGACGACGACGAGAGTACATACTCATCAACCCATAAACATTCTGAAAAAAATTACGACTTCGTAGTCTTTTAAAAGTAACAAATAAAGTTAAATACAAAATCCCTAACAGACTTCGGTCTTCAATTCAGTTATGTATCAAACCAATTTTAAAAATTTTGCAAACATTTTTATTGTAACCAAGGAATCTTTTTAGAATCTGTAAGTACACGAGGCAAAATGGACGGTGGATGCTTAAGTCAAGTTTCATTAGATATAATTCATAAAATGTTTCGTTGATCGTGGTACTCTATTTGTGGATGATTTTGATATACGACATGCACATGTAAAATTTTATATTAAAACATATTTACATATTATACAGGGTGTCTCAAAATTAATGGACAGCAGAGTAGTGCTGGATAGTGGTTGGAATTCTAAGTTTGGTGTTTTTTAATCTAACGCATCCTTTATTAGTTATTAAATAAAGTGGCCAATCACAGACCAACTTAAGCAAAATGAGTAGAGGTGCGACAACTACTGCGTAAGTAACTGGTCCGACATTTAAACCTAATCATTGCATTTTTTTAATACGCTTTTTGTAATATAATTTAAAAATAAAAACAACTTGTCCTATAGGAATTCGATTGCTATTATAGTCAGAATATTGAACGTATCGCGATATCGTAGTGTGAATTGACCTTAATTGTATTATTTTGGTTTTTAGCTTCAACTAACCTTTAGTAGTAGTTTAGTAGTAAGTATTTTAGTATTTTAAACTCTTATTTTCTTGGAAATCGAAAATCTTCAATAAATTGGCTGGCCATTTTTTGTGGGAATATCTAAAAGGAGCGGTGTATGTGAACCAGTCTTGGAAAATTTAATAATTGAAAGACAATATTAATATTAAAATAAGGGCACTATTAACAGCTGTCGTCGAAAATGCCATAGAAAAAGCACATCTTTGTGACGTAAAAAATAACCGATATTAATATAATATTTTTCATAAATATTTTGTGCTTATAAAAAATTTAATAAAAGTATTTCATTAACAAAGAAGTTAAACGCTATTTCAATGATTTACACTTATTTTTTAGAAATAAAATGCTGCAGATAATTTTAGTGTAGATTCGGCTTTATTGTGAGCAGAGCTGAGAGTCTCTGGAAAAAAAGATACTTAAAAGTAACTTAGATACATAAAGTATCTAAGATACTTTATTTTAGATATTTTTTATATTGGACAGAAAGTATCTTTAACTTAGTTACTTTAAAAAAGTATCTTGTAACTTGTATCTAAGTTACTTGGTAAAGTAACTAAGATACATTCAAGTAACTTAGAAGTTTAAAGTAACTAAGATACTTTTTAAAGTAAATAAGATATTTTTTAAAGTTACTTAGATACTCTTCAGTGTAACTTACATACTTTCTTAGAGAAAATTGGGGGAATTACAGAATGATTTAAAGTAATTACCTAAACCTAACCTAAAACTTGTTGAATTTTCATAATTAATTCATACTTAAAAGTAACATAGTTACTCAAAAGTAACTTATTTACTTAAAAGTATCTTTGTTACTCAAAATTATCTTAAATACTTTCATATAATATCTGAGATACTTTCGGATAGTGTCTTAGATACTTTCTAAAGTATCTTGTAACTAAAGATACTTTCAACTCAAAGTATCTATTTACTCAAGGTAACTAAGTTACGAATGCGTATTGAAATATTGTAATCTAAAACAAAGAGTTTATGTGATTTTTTAAATTATTTTTATGGTATATAGAACATTTTATTAGGTCTTCTTTTTCGACATTAGCATTTGCCTGGTTGGCAACTTTGAGTTTTGTGCGATTGCTTTGAGCATTTCATGTATTCACTCACAATTTAGCGTAATAATTTTAGGTCAATTAATTTTTCACAATTATGATTTCGCGGTACATAAAAATCCTATATTAATTCAGAATAGGATATGCGCAAAATACTTGTTTTTTTGTTATTCTAAATGTGTTCTAAATAGTTTAGGATTAGCTTCGCAAAAACAGTTAATATTATCTAAAAGGATGCGAAATCAAAAAACGCCAAAGGACTTTTCGTCTCAGAAGTCCATTCCCTATCCACCCCTTTTCTGCTGTGCATAACTTTTAAGACACACTGTATATTATTAGTATATTGTATATTACTATTTATTAAAGTAAAAGCGAGGGGAATTTCACTCTTGAAACGGATTTCTACTGTAAAAGGATAGATCAATAAGTCCTTACAAAATCAAAGATGGTGCTGGTAATTTTTTCCTGATAGGTACAATCTGTTGGTAGACTACTGTCAAAATGTCACCTACTTTTTTCTTTATCTAAATATGAGGAAATAACTACATCTTTTGAAACCAATGCCTTTTTTTAGTTTTCCGGAATCTTACTCTCTTAAAATGAAATAGTCAAAATTCTACTATTTGAATTAGTACCAGCATTTTTTTAAATAAAATAGTCGTTTTCACTCTTAAATAGGTATTTATTTACTACGTAAATAGTTAACGTTTGACTAATTTCAGATTAGTCACCATCTTTGACTATTTCTGAGAGTAAAAAGTAACTAATTTCTTGAATCGTTTGCGGCCAACAACAAAGTATTATTTGAATAAATGGATATAGGCTCCATGGTTAAATGGCCCATAAAAACAAAGATGCAAAAAGTTTAGCTCAAAACAGCAACAAAAATAATATATTCAACTTTAAAATATTTATTGACAAATAAAATTGATTTTTATAAGAGTGACTGATAGCCACATTGGTTATGACAACAGCTTGACAGACCTGAGTTCAATCCCCGGCTGGGTCAAAAAATTTTAAAATTTAAATCTACTAATTTGACTATTTCATTCAGTAGAATTTGACTAATTATTAGTGACTGCTTTTTCGCTATGTCAATTAGTCAAATATGACTTTTAATTAGTTATTTTTGACTAATTTATTTTAAGAGTGTGTTGAAAAACAATTTTGATTGTTTTGTGAGGACATTTGGACCCACCCTTATAGAGAAGCTTTTAGAATCATGGAATCGGTTTTGTGTATAAATCACGAGATAGTCTAATGGATTTGATATAATTGGGAGAATCACGGGCTTTTCTGATTTATTTTTTGTGAATTTTGAAATCACAAGATTCTCTTCTATATTGGAGTGAAGTGACCTTCAAGTTAAAGGTACTAAAGTACTTTTCATTAACAAAAAATTACTTTTATAAAGGGTTTTGTACTTATTTATTATTGACTATTTAATTCTTTTTTTCTACTTGGTCGTGACCTTAATCAATTGTTTATAACTTTGCTAGTAAAATATATTTTTGCTCTAACTTTTTAAGGTTATAAACGTGGCCAAGTTGAAAAAACAAAAAGTTTACCACGACCAACGACAATATCGATAATAAAACATCAACTTATTAACTCTCTTGATCACTGATTTGATGACTACTTTTTAGCGTCCATTTACCCCTGTGTACTTAAGTAAAATAATTACGAACCTTTAAACTATTCGATTAGAGAAAGTGTATGTTAAACATCAATTTCTTGACCGATGTCGTTAAACTTAAGCGTTGCGTATTCAGTCTTTGGTTTGGATTTTTGGGATTTTTTTGGTTTAGTCGAAGCGGAGTCGTGCGAACTCGTTTTGCCGGTCGAAGACTTCGGCATGTCCAAGTCCGCGTAAACGACTCCATTTGGTTTGTTAGTGGGCGTTTGGCTGTTGCGGCCTACCAACGGCTGGGGATACTGAAGCTGCACGGAGTTTTGCATGTTCTCCTGAAAATGTACATTTTCCTGATAATCACCGGGCCTTCGTAGCACCAGCGGGCCTTTGGTCTTTTGTTTTTGCTTTTCGCGTTTGTGTGGACGTCCATGGTGACTACCATGCTCCTGGTAGTCGGAAATGTAACCGTTGCGCATCAAGTTCTCCTCGTGAATGTTTTTGATCGGCTGAAAGTAACTTTCGGCCGTTTGGAACTTGAAACTGTGACACTTTTGCAATGGTATTTGGAAATGCTTCTTTTGCTTAGACTTTGACGAAAACGATTTGCTCTTTGGTAATTGTTCTTGGAATAAAGATTTTGGCAAGAGTTTTGAACGTTTTTGATGTGGTATTGTTGCTGAGTATTGAGGGGGCACGGCGGCACTCAATTGTTTTAAATGCGGCGTTGTTAGGGTATAAAAAGCGTTCTGAAAATTAGTATAATTGTTAATATACATCAAATACACTCTTGGACTAAAAAAACATACCAACCAAAAGTTTAAAATTATTTTTTAAATATTGTATCGTTTTTAATGATTTAGTTAGTCTAATCTATAAACCTTCACTTGATCTAAATAACTACTTGGTTTACGGAAATTTGTAAAATATTATATACAAGGTGTCCCTAAACTTATTGGCATAAATTAAAGATTGAGCAAGTCAAAATAAGACGAAAACACAAATAAATATTTTTCTTAATTACTTATGTTTCCAAGATACAGGGTAATAAAGTGTTACTTATCATATCAGTTTTTTTAATACAACCCTTACTATGGTAGTCTTTGAAAGGTGATATTTTGCGAACAGTCACTTACTACCAAAACACATATTCACACATAATTATAATTGTTTGAGTGAACACAGTGTCGTATAAACGGGGGTTGCTTTAAGCTTATTGTCCCATACAAACTTTGAGGTTAGGTTTGTATAACATTTGATGCAATTTTTAGATTACACCGTTCGGCTACCATTAAAAAGGTGAACCTCTCAAACTTCGATAAAATTAACCGTTTCCGAGATATTCGAGATTACAATAATAATTATTGTTATATCGCATTATTTAAAAGGATTAAAAGGTATATGAGAAGAAATTTTATTTTTTAATTGAAAAAACTAAAAAAAACACTCCATGAGCCTCGGGACTTTTTGCCCTGACCGTCACATTAAAAAAAAATGTAGTTTTTTTAATTAAAAAAGTCATTTAATGCGATATATCAATTATTGTAATCTCGAATATCTCGGAAACGGTTTATTTTATCTAAGTTTGAGAGGTACACCTTTTTAATAGTAGCCGGACTAAGCAATCGAAAAATTGCATCAAATGGTATAAAAACCTAACCTCAAAGTTTGTATGGGACAATAAGCTTAAGCATCCCCTGTTTCTTACAATTGTAATTATGTGTGAATATGTATTTTGGTAGTAAGTGTTCGCAAAATATCACCTTTCCAAGTCTACCACAGTTACTGTAGAAGTTATTAAAAAAAAACTGATATGATAAGTTACACTTTATAACCCTGTATATTTTAAACATACGTTATTAGGAAAAATATTTATTTGGATTTACGTCTTATTTTGACTTGTTTAATCTTCTAAAGTTTAGGGACATCTTGTATATTTAAAAAAAAATAAAATTGAAATAATACCAATAAAGAGCTAAAGAACCAAATAAACTAAAATAAAATGTATGCTAATTCCTGTGAATACAAATTTTGGCTGTACTTCTTTTTCGTCCAAGTGTATATTACGTATTACTAAACTAAAAAATAAATAAAAAAAGCACACACCTGCTTAGTATTGTTATTTGGGCTTCGTTTATTTTGGGTGTTCGTAATAGGCATTTGGGGTACTAAGGAAACCTTAATATTTGAGTTTTCGTCTTCTTTTTTAACAACAGGATTGGACACTCTGGCAATTGGTGATTGGGCAGGAGACGCTTTTCTTTTGGCTTGTATTTGCAGGGATAAGGCACCTTTTGGACTTTCTACAGGAGGTTTAATAAAATTAGGACTCACTTTTAAAGTGGGAGAATTCTTCATGGCATGAGTGGATACTGTATGGAATGGTGAATGTTTTTTGGAGTTTGATTTTACAACTTTGGATGCAAGGAGTTCATTTTTGATACTACTATCGCTTTTAATGCTTCTTACGCTTGCCGCATCACTTTTAGTACTTTTTAAACTGGCGTTACTTTTTAATGAAATTGTATCTTCTGGTTTTTCTTTATTTTCCACATTCTGAGTGTGAATTTGGACCTCGGCAGTTACAGAAATGCCTGATTCGTTTGGATCACTACTGTCTTTGGAACTATCCAGGTTTGATTTATTTAAAGAGTTATTGGAAGTGTTTTGATAAATTATTTCGATTTTTCTGTGTTTCTTACAACGTGGTTTTGGTTGCGGTTTTAAAGTAGAATAAGTATCGCTTTGTTGATTATTTTCATTTATTTCCTTAGCTTCTACTCCGTCTATAATTGGTGAAAAATTGTTAGATATATTTGGAGGGTTATTTTTTGGTAATTGAGCAAAAATCTTTTTTGGTAGAGCATAAATAACTGGTCGCTTTTTAGCGTGTTTTTTGCATCTCATAGAATAGAAAGTAGGGGAATAGCATTTGTGCTTTTTTAGTTCCAAAGAACCAAAGCGTTTTTCTGCAACCGTCATAGGTTTATTTTTATTTTCTCTAATTGGTTTTGGTGGATTCTCTGGCTTAACTTTAGTTTCTGATATTTGTTGTAGGTTTGTATTGGAATTGGATTGCCTTAACTCAGGTTTGGATTCTCTTCTACCTGCTATTCTGGGTTGAAAATTGTATGCGTTGATTATAAAAGGATTCCAAGTATTTGAATGTGATTGTATTTGATTTGTTTTGCCAAAACTGTGAACTCGGTTAACTGGATTCGGATGAAATTGAAAGGGATTATTGGGAGTAAAACTTTGAGATGCGCTCATGTTAGTTGCAAACGGATTATAAATGGTAGGAATGAATTGATTTTGACCGTGAGCATAAAAATTAGGATGACTCTGTTGCAAAGGAATCTGGTGTAGATAAGGATTGCTTAGGTGCCTCGAGGAAACATTAAACGGTCGAAAACCTTGAAATTGCTGCTGCAGTTGAACATTCTGAAAACCGTGAAAGGATTGATTCCTTTTGACTTTGTTATTTACAGCGCCGAAAGGTATTGGAAATTGATTTGGGTTTGATGTCATTAAGGACGTTGTCGAAGACGTAAAACTCAACGGGTTTCCTTGGTTAAAGGGCGCTATTACGGATACCGGCTGCAAAAAATACATGCAAAATGAAAAAAATGCAAAATAATAAATAATTAGAGGTCATTAAGTTTTTATTGCTAAATTTTAAATGTCTACATTTACGTTTTACATTTAAAATATGGGACAGTCCATGCCAAATCGGCCAAGAGTAAGACTTCATGTTTCCGATTTGCTTCAAATTTTCAGGGTCGATGGAAGAACTAAAGAAATCTAAAATTTCAACCTTTTCTTTTTTGCATTTTTGTAAGTTTAACAAAATAAACAAAAAAAAATGTCACTTCTCTTATTTTTCGATTATTTAAAAACGCGAAAGACAAAAAATTTCGAAAAAAAAATTATATAAACATATTTTTTGACGCTCTTTAAGATAAAATAAAAAAAATTTGTTCAAAAATTCTCAAAAAAATCTTATTTTTTTATTAAAATTTAATTTCTCAAAAAACGCCACCTCAAATTAAAAAAAAAATAATGATGATTGCTCTATATTTTATTAAAACTCCAAATTATTTCTTTTTCTAATTTATTAAAAAATAAACAAAACAATCAAATTAAAATATCGTCGATGGTCTAGCAATAACTTCTATGTGCAAATTAAAATTTTTTAACCGACTTAAGAAAAGCTTAACATATTTAAAAAAAATTTACTATTAAAATAACAATGTTTTAGTTTAATTATGTATTTTTTTAGGTACTCTTCTAGCTCTCGTTAAATTTTTTTAAGAAAACAGGTTTTTATTTTAACTGAGAAGGAAAAAGTTATTTGTCTACATATTTTAAAATTTGCAGCTATATTGCAAATTAAAATATATATATATATATATATATATATATATATATATTGCAAATTAAAATATGCAAATCATGAACCCTGGTTATATAGAACTAACTGTTGTTTTCTGAATAAATAAAATACCAATTTTATTGATATGTTAAGTAATTAATTATTTTAATTTTAAGTTTTTTTAAATAAATTAAGCTTTTTTTAAGTTGGTTAAAAATTGTTAATTTGCACATATAAATTATTGCTAAACCTTCGACGATATTTTAATTTAATTGTTTTGTTTTTTAATGTGTGTGTGAGAAAAAGAGAGAGATAGAGAGAATCGTTAAACCATTTTTTCTCCGTTAGACCGAGTGCACGTCTTTTGGAACCGCGCGCCGATTTGACAAGCATTTTTTTACAAAAAAATACATAACTTCTACAGTTTTTGAGTCCCCCCCAAAAATTAGTAGTCAAAATTTGCGGAAAACTTAGGGCTATCATCATGATTTTTTTTTAATTTGAGTTTTTTTGGGATTTAAATTTTAATAAAAAAAATAAGATTTTTTTGAGAATTTTTGAATTTTTTTTTTATTTTTGTTTTATCTTAAAGAGTGTCAAATATGTTTGTATGATTTTTTTGAAAATTTTTAAATAATCGAAAAATAAGAGAAGTGACATTTTTTTTGTTTATTTAGTAAAACCTACAAAAATGCATAAAAGAAATTGAAATTTCAGATTTCTCCATTAGTTTAGTTCCTCTATCGACAAATCGGAAACATGAAGTCTTACTCTTGACCGATTTGGCGTGGACTGCCCATATACTTTCTATTTATAATTCTTTTATAACGGATAATATAGGTACTTTAAAAATGGAAACCTTAAGGGAATATATCTTTAACCACAAAAGTAAAAATATGAAATGTTGACCTGGAAAAATGAATAAGAGCTCTATATCAATAAAGCTTATTTTTGTTACGTTTAATTTATAGACGAAACTAAAAATGGAATCTGCGGAAAGCAAGGCATGGCCGCAATAAATAAACTTAACGGCCTCGGTTATCAAAAGCGAACAAAGTGTTTACATATGCGCGAACACAGATAAACTCCTTCACTTACTTTGTTTGGCGGGTTTTGCATGCCGTGGAACGGAAGGTTCTCGTAGAAACCTTTGTCGGCGGCGGCTGTGTTGTTCGGATCAGTCGAGGGGTCTGCTGAACCGCCACCCGGTGGAGCAGCCCCCAGTCGCGTCTTATCTCCTACAGAGGATGGGTTGGGTGCTGCGGAAATAAGAAAAAGGAACGCACTTTAATTCGGGACGAACGTCTATAAAAAAGCGAATTTAATTCGCACTCTACGGCGTCTTTTCGCTCGGTTATTGCTTTTTTTAGATGCCAACCTATTTGTGCACGCGTGTTATATTTTTTGTATAACGTTCTCACAAACGCAGCATCGGATTTTAAAATACCTATCCCAATTTACATAAATTAAGTTTTTTATATCTTTGTAAAATCTTATTTTAAAATGAAGGTACTTATTAATGGTATAAGGTTCAAATAACCAAGGTGGAAAAATTAAAAAAATGATTATGGTATTTGTTTTCCTGGTGTTTTTTTCCTGTACAACAATATGACTTTATCAAATTTCCATGCATACCTAAATGACAGAATAAAATTTTCAAAAAGGTGCACGAAGAAAATAAAATAGCAAGCATTGATGCGCAGAAGACTAATTTATCAATAAACTGTTTTATTGATTACCATAGATCCTTGACCTACTCAATAAGTAGTATAGTAAATTTATAAGGAAACGACGTACACGTCATCGATGACGTCATAATTTTGCGCACTGGTACCAATACTTAATGTATAAAACGAAGTCTGTAATTGAATATTTTAATGCATTTTAACCAAATTAAGTTGGCAGCAATTGCAATGTTGTCATGTTTAGATTAAAATTCTGCTTAATAAATCAGAAAAAGAAATTGACGTTTTAGAATTTCGAAGCTGTCAGTTGTGTTTTTGAATTCGTGTATAATTTCGTTTATTTTGTTTGTTGTTTGTGTCATTTTATATCGTTTAAGTTTTCATTGACGTTTTTGTGTTTGTTATATATCGCTTTTTTGTTTTTCCTATATTTAAAATGCTGAAGCATTTAAATAGTCGGAGTCAAGAGTTGGTATCATCCTTAATACGTTATAATAATAACGGACTTTTGTAATGGACTTTTGTTACCTTTTACTTTTAATTTAATATCCTAATTGACTGTTAAATGTCCGAGATACAAATTGGCTGCTTTTTTTGCTATGACAATTAGTCATTTTTGACCACAGACCAACAAAACAAATAGACGGATTTGTTTACGTTTAAAAAGCGAGTAAAGCATAGTTTCACATTCTAAACACCGTCGAAAGAAACACGTCTTCCAACATTGTCAGAAGTATGGATTACACGCCTTTTTGGACGTTCATCATAACATAATAAACATTAAAAATTACCAGTAATTCGTTTGAATAATAAAAAAATTGTAAAAAGGATTTGTTCATCATTTTCTTTAGATATATTTCTCTATTTAAAGGAAGTAAATCGTTTAATAATTATTAAAATTAAATATTAAACGTTGGTAAATTCGTCATATTTGCGTTCAGTGGATTGTGGTTGACAGCATAGAAAAAGGTTGACAGCTTGTTGTTTTGCGTTTTCGTTTGTGTAATTCTATCGTGTTTAAGTTAATTATTGAGTTTAAATACATTATTTTTTACTAAAAATTACAATACATGGAAATATCGTTTGTAAGTACCGTAAACACGGGTGGCTTTGGCTCACTTTCAAACTTCAGCTTAAAATTATTGTGGTTTTAACAATCATAATCATTAAATGTTGTATACCAAAATTTGAGTCTTGAGTTGCTCTTTCATAATAACTATGTTATAATATTACATAGGGCTGAGTTTCAAAAATAAACATTAAAAACTGGGTGTGCAAAGTTACCCCCTGGTTGCGGGTTACTTTGTCTCACAGTGTTTTTTCAGTATAAAATAAATGTAATATTATATTTTATTTTTATTAGACACGTGTTAGCAGCGACATATATCTATTGCAAGGGATTACCAATAAAAAAAATAAAAAATCGACCTGTAGTTAACCAAGGATCATCATTCCAATGGATTGCGCATAATATAGAAATTGTAACGCGTGTATTTCTAAGAGTTTTGCACTGATACGATATATACAATTTTGAAGTGTAATAAATCCCATTTCTTTCTTTAAAACACTGATTTTCCTGTACTATAAACTCAATAGAATCGCTCAATTGACAGGTTTTGACCAACAAATTATAAATGTTAATTTTATCGAGCGCGAAAAGATTTTTCATAAATGGGTTAAAGTCACCCGCGGGGTGCAAAGTCACCCGTATTTACGGTACCTACCTACTTATTATTTTTTTAATCCCAATATTTGTTCAATACTCTGCCTATTAGAGATTATTTCCAATTATTTATTGAACTGTTTTAATTTTTCCGTGTATAAAATAAAAACAGATATCTTTGAAAACCGATTTGGTGAATTTTGTATTTATAAAAATGTGCGAATGAAATGAAATGTCCTAAATTGCAGAATCTAATTATATACACCTTGCTTGATATAATCCATTTTGTTTCATTGCAAACAGACAACAAGTCATTTTATTTACTACACCATATCGCAGCGATATTATCGCTTTAATGCTAAAACCTAACATAAAAATTTGGATCTGAGCTTCCTCTGGCCTTTAAAAGGAAAGTCGAATATCCTACTCTTATGACTATTTCGACTTTTAACCACCTTTTTCGATTTCTACAACCAAGCGAAAAGTATAAATTTGAGCTTCCAAAAGAAAGGGCAAAGCTCCACTTTTCCGAGGAGCGAGCGTTTTTTTACGGATCCTTTGTCGTATGCTTAGATACCATGGAAACCAAAATAAAGAAACGTTTAGTGTATTTGCGACTTTTGACATTAACCTCAAACTTGAGGTTATCAATAATTGTAGAAAAAATTCTGTGTGTAATTCGATCGCAAAGTGACATTGCCGCTCTCGCGAGATAGCCGCGCTACCGCAAACTTCTCGCTCAGAGCGGCAATGTATCACTTTGCGCTCTTAATACCCAACTAGCTATTTTCTCCCATCAATAAAAAATGCGTTTGTGTACTCATGTGAGCTCATTTTAAACATTATTTATTGGTGTTCCAAATTATACTAATTTTTAGAAAAAAATTAAATTTCGAAATTTACCACCTTGATTATTTTACCCGCAAAGCAAAACAAATAATACAAAAAATACTTACAACTACCCGGCTTTTTCCTCTTGCGTGGATTAACAAAATCGGATTCCCTCTCTGTGTCCGCGTGAAACTTTTTAAATGTCACAACTATCATGCAAAAATAACGCATTCATTATTACAACAAAAAGCATACATTTTAAGGCATTTGCAAACCAAAATGTTTTAGTTTTAGTTTAATTAAATTGCATTTTAAAATAGACGTTGTTAATAGGTTCTACCTATAAAATTAAATTTTTAAATAATTTTGGTTACAAATTTTAACTTTAACTTAACTTAATTTAATTATATGAACAAAACTTTTCCTTATTTTATGGTAATTATTACAGATAAGTGTCAATTTGATGGAATATATCGAGTTGTACATAATCTTCAGCAGTTTTGAACCAATTTAAAAAAAAATTCAAAATTTCAATTTCAATTAAAGAAAATGTAAGGTGCACCAAGCATTCTTCTGTATATGGGTATCTTTTTATTTTAAGAGCGGTTAATTTATTAAAATTTTAATAGTATTTACTTAAATAATTAAAATACTTATACAATGTGTCCACGGATGGACTTTTTTTTAGAAAAAGTTATTTTTCATAATTTCTTTTGCTTGTTATACAGGGTGTTTCAGAATAAGATGCTTTTTTATAAAAATATCTAGGAAGTTATTAAAGTTATGATAAAAAAACGATTTTTTTCTTAAAACTTTAACACCCTGTAACTCCAAAATTAAGAGGTTTAGGTTTATTTGAACTTTTTTTCTTAAAATCAACTAAGGATTCACACCCTTAAGGTTCAGCATCTTATTCTGAAACAGCCTGTATAAATACGAGTGTTGAGAAACATCGATTTTGTTGTACAGGGTGAGCAAAAATACAGATTTTCAAAATAAAAAAATATTAAATATTTTTTTTGAAGCGCTAATATAAAGAACTGTAAGGAGAAATCAAAAAGTCAAATGAAGTTTTTTCATATGACTTTTTGATACTAAGATATTTGATTTTGAAAATTTAAGATATTATAATATACTATAGTTTTCAAATTATAACAAATAATTGTAGACATTGTAGACATGTCAGTTGAAAGCAACAACCTTGATTCATAATCACAAAATGAGAATAGAACCACTCAAGTTAGGACCTGAACTGATTTTATTTTTAACAAATATCTTAGTAACAACTCACATGAAAAAATTTTATTTGGGTTTTTGGTTTATCCTTAAAAGCTATACAAATCTACAATTGTATTTTTTTTTGCCCACCCTGAATAACAAAAGTTTCTCATCGTGAATGGTATTTATATAACAAGCAGAAGAAATTATGAGGAGCGACTTTTATTCGAAAATTTTAAAATAAATATTTTTATAAGTATAGTTAAGGACACACATTATCTACTCATAGATGTTAACTATCCTCTAAACTGAACTAAAAATTAGTTAAAAATTCAAATTTTGCGTGAAATTTGACTTTCGTCCAATAAAAGAAAAATCCTCAAAGAAAAAAGTCAGGAGACAAGTTAGAAGTCCTAACTAGAACTCCTCAAACGCCATGACTTAACAAATTTAAGGTTCACTTTTGAGGTGTCTGCAATAAGGTTATCTTAATTAATGAAATAGCTTTTTTGTTATAAGCTCAAAACGTCATAAAATTATAGACCATTCAATATAAATAAACCATTTTAAACGACTTTTAACTGTGTAGTGTTTTAAAACTTTTTGTTTGCAAGTAATTCGATATAAATTACCTCCACTTGCTCCTTGGCTGATTCCAATTGGCATGTGATCTCTGCTGCGACTAAATCCTAGCAAATCCCTTAGCCTCTCCAACCTGGCATAAACTTTTGTTTTGTTTCTTTTATACTTTAAAATTGTACTCGTCGTAACCGAGGTGGTTTTAAAGGGCGACATCCTAGGACTCAATTGACTTATGTTCATGTGATTCATTTTGCTTACGTGACACAAAACTCCCGGCCTTAGCGGCCATTTCGATTGGTCGGAAAGATTGGGAGAATGGCCGTCCGGTCTAAATTGAGATTTTTCAAATTTATGCCAGATCGAGATAAAACGATAAAAACACGATGAAAGCCGTAAGCCAAGTTGCGGAACAAAACATGAAACAAAAACGGAAAGCTGCGTTAGCTTAAGATAAACACAAATAATGATAGAAAAAAAGTTTAAAGATTTATAACACTAATCTACGTAATGCAAAAACTCAAGCCGGTGCAAGCATGCAGAGTACCTTAACACCACCCAAAATCCATTGGATAAAGACAACAACGAAAATCGTGGTTCATATACCTAAATGGCGCATGCAACATTGTGATTTTAAGTATATGAAGATCAAGTGCAATAATTACATTGTTTATAGTTGTAGTAGTTGCCCTGGTGCCCTAAATACGTTAGGCGCCCGCAAGGTACCAGGGGAAGACCCAGAACGTCCGGGCTCTGTGTGCAAAGGAACCTAAGAAGACGTTTATTAGTAGTAGATTTTGGTTAGTCAAATTAGTTTTTGGGTGGTCAGGAATGGGTGCGACAGAAATACTTAATTACGCATTTTAAATGCAATAAGCATAAAAAAACTTAATAATTATTATAATTTTTACCAATTGTATGAGGACATTTTTGTTTAGATTTTAGTTGATTGCACAGGTCTACAAAAAGAACCATGGACCTTATCCTTGTTTTAAAACATCAGGTTTTCGTTAAAGACCTGACGACTAACAATTCATAAGCGCATCAAAGGCTTATAGTTTAATTAAATCATTAAATAATTAGATTTTGTAGGTAATAAAAACAAAAAAGTTGCAGACAAGTTAAAACAATTGCGTCAGGGTTTGTACAGTGTGAAACGAGGGAAAAGTTATATTTGGAAATATTTTGAGAAAAAGAAAATTATTTTTAATGAAATCATAGCTTATGGCATTCTATCAAAGAATTGGCGATGTTTTGTGGTCCCCACCCTTGACAAGTCAAAATGTGACTTTTTTATGGGGCTACCTCAAGGGGCGTGTTTGCAACTAAAGACCTATGACACTATGGAAGACTTCCAACTATCGTCTAAGATTTCAAAAATTTCATTATAAATAATTTCCTTTTTCTCGAAAATAGATCGTGTAATTCTCATTTCAAGAAATCTCCCGCGCCACACCCTGTAGTACAAGTACAAAATGTTTGGTATGGCGAAACAACGAATTTTGTATATCTCTAGGCCATACGCGTTAAAGTTATGAAATATGATGAATGTGAAGTTGCAAAAAAGATTGTTGGAAGATAAAATATTTAAACTGTATAAACTATTGAAATCCTTTTATATTGTTTTTGTCTTAAAGGAGTTAGGAGAATATAATTTACAACGTATTTATATTTCTTTTATTACAATATGATAGTTCGAATTACTAACATTATGGGCTGCTGATTTCAAAAATGCCACTCGTTTTGCTCCTAGGATTCAAAATAATTGCGAAGTTTTTGTGTCTTTTTTTTAATTACTAATTAAATTGAAAAGGCAATAAAGTAAATGGGTTTCGGTATAAACATTACTCTTCGACTATTATTTGATATTTTTTTATTCACATCATTGCTAAAGTACCCACAATCTCCAATCTTATTTATTAAGTCTTATCAAAATTTAATGTCGAACTGAAGTATAAAGGCGCCTTTATCTACTTTATCGTTCAAGCACATTGAAGTGCATCTATTAATTTTTGACATTTAAAATTTAAAATTTAAACTTTAAATTGTATTTTTACTTGAAAGTGATTTTAGGAAAAATGAAAAAAAACAAGACTTGGAAGTGGTAATGGAAGTGTCAGAAAAATAAAAAGGAGACGAACCTTTATGTCGTCGTTGTAAATTTGTTTTGTTTTTGTTGCGGTACCTTTACGCCCAAAAAAAACCAACGCAATATTTCATTACAAAATTTTATGAGATATACCTACTACTTTCATTTTGAAGGAATATTAAATGAACCGGATATACGACTTTCAATGAAAGATCAATCATTCAAAAATGCTCTCAAAGTTGACGAGCTTGTCGCATACGGCAGTGTTAAAGCTGTCATTAAAATGTTCTTGGTTCATATCGGGCCTAAAATTGGCGCCAATTCATTGAAAAAATGCTCTCCGTTTTGCAAAAAATTAGCCTTAATATGTCATTTAAAATAGATCTTTTTTTTCATCCTGATAAATTTACCGAACTGATGAACATGGAGAACGATTTCACCAAGTAACTGCAAATCTAGAGCATTGGGATATCTATGGGTATAGCGGAAATAAGTTGGATTCATTGCTAGGAGACATTTTTTGGAATTTGCAGCAAAAGATGTACAACGATGCACAATAATACTATAATTCAATTTGATATTTGATACGATTTAATAAATTTAAGGCAGAAAAAAGCAAAATGCAATGCATTAAATTTTGTTGGCTTAATTTGGTTAAAAATTATCGAAACCTGTTTACTTTGTTGCACTTTTAATTCAATAATTAAAATAAAGGACAAATAGTGGTTGTTTTTAACATAAAATATAATAAAATTTTAGTTTTAGCATTAAAATGTCATATTGTTAAGATAAATATGATCTATTTGCCGTATACCAATTACTTCAGTACATTCAAGATAAATTTAAGCCAAAATAATTTAATAAATAATTAAAATACTAAGAAAAAAACTTAAATTTTGAGGTGATTGAGCAGAGCATTTTATTAGAAAATTATTTTAAATCCTAGACGTCCTAGAGAAAAACAAATTACATTTTTGAAATCAGCGGTTAAAAATTAGTTAAACTAAGCTGGAGTACTTAATGTTGGGGAAAAAAAGTTTCAAAAACTATCATAGTGTTATTAATATTACTTGTGGACTAGTGGATTATAAAGAGAGCGCTTTAAAATTTATCAAAAAACTTTTTTCTCTCATTGACAGGCAATATTATTTTTTCTTGATAGATCTGTGGCCCATGGAAAAATTATATTGTTCTGACTCTCCCACAACAACAATATATACGGGGAAGTATATACAAAAGTATTTCTGTCATTTGGGTAAATTGTATTTACAAAAGGTTTTGCTAGCTCATTGTGCAACAAGAATTTGCGAAAAATTTGCCGAAAAAGAATGTGTTTTGTTTACTAAGGGCTATACAGGCTGGGTTCATGTTATCACGCTTATTACGGTTATGTTTTTATTTCAACATATATCCTTTACTGCATCTGCATTAGTATCATCATCATTAACTGGGTAGGATTATTTACAAATAGCCTGCAGGAGTCTATAAGATAGTTGTTAAAGTTAATTATATAGCAAGCCTGGTTGGTATAAAACTTGGGAAACTATGTTGGCTTTTAATAATTTAATGTGGATAATGATGCAGATTATTATTTTTTTTATTAAGGAATAATCTATATTTTTGGGGACATACAATCTTACCTTACTAAACAGAGTAAAAACTTATCACAAATTTAAATGCACATTCGTTCCAGCGTTTTTTCTTTTAGATAAGATATCACCCATTAATAAATAGAATAAATACCATCACCAGAAAGAAAGGTAGTATAGATATTTATTATGTATAAAATAGTACATCATATTGATCTTATGTAAAATAACAACAAAGAAAATAACAAAACTTACTTTTCGCGCTCTTCCATTTCCAGCGGATTATTGTCTGTGGCAAGCGAAAAAAAATCGTCATGTTAGTTACGCACATACAAACATTAAAGTCTATTGTATTTATCAATTTTGCAACCATAAACCAAAACCCACTTACATTTTGTATCGGCTCTCTTTCTTCTGCACAAGCAAATAATAACAATGCAAATAACGATGACGCACAATATCAGCACGATGATTGAGGCGATGATGGCAATCAAGTTGATTTTCTTCCACCATGGCAAGAATCCTGAAATAAATTATCCAAATTTAATTTTCTTGGATGCAAAAAACCCTGTAAGTCATAAATACTACGAGTGCCATGAAGAACGTGAAATAAATTTCGCTTTTTCGAGAATGTCAATCAAGGGTTTTAATTAAATCTTGCAGAAATAATGAACAGCTGAGTACAGGATATTAAAGTTTAGGTGATTCTATTATACAATCTGGTGGACTTCAAAAGCATTGCTTGAATTTAAGAATTGTTAACAATACATTTAAAGCATACGAACTGTACATCATTTTTTAATAAATAGGTAGTTTTTTCACAAAAGAGAGGAAGGCAGAAGTCTTACTCGACAAATTTTGTTCAATTGCACAGCTAAATCGCGCGCGTTATTTGTGTTTTACGTTGCAAAGAAAAAACTAAAAAACTGGTTTATTATTCGATTTCTATTGAGTATTCTTTATATCATTGATTAAGAAACTCAACGCTTAAATGCTTATATATATATATATATATATATATATATATATATATATTAGGGTGTCCCTTATTTTTATTTTTTTATGCATACCCTCTAATTATATTTATTACGTGTTTATATACTCCCAGTAAAAATTTCAGCTCATTCTATAAACGGGAACCCGTGCCGACTTGCATCTGAACCCTCCGTTAGCCAACGTTAGGCGCGCGGTATTTTGTAACACGGTTAGTCGCGAGGTCTTCGATCGTAAGTCATTTTGTGTTTGTTATTATGTGACCCTTATATTATAAATTATTGACAAATGTTAAAATATAATTTTATTTATGTGTATACTTTGATAAAAATGTATATTTTCACAGGGAGTGGCTAGTTACCCGGAAGGGTCTGGTGAATAGGCCGTAAACTTTGAAATTGATAAACTTAATGGGTTTTACTCGAAATAACTAAAAGAGTCTATTGTGAGAGATGACTACCGAAAACTTATTGAACTGTCTGAAATATTTTTGGGAGGACATCAAAAAAAGAAATGCTTATAAAAAGCTGAAATTTCATATAACGGTATATTTTAGCAATACTAATTAGTATATTAATATATTTAAGGGATAAAATCAACTAAATTAGTGAAACAAATGATAGAAACAAAAGCAATAATATTAATTAGTAATCATATTTAATAAAATCATTAGAAAAATACAGTCATGAACTATATCTTCTTTTTAAAGTGTTTCGTGTTACAAAATACCGCGCGCGCCTAACGTTGGCTAACGGAGGGTTTAGATGCAAGTCGGCACGGGTTCCCGTTTATAGAATGAGCTGAAATTTTTACTGGGAGTATATAAACAAGTAATAAATATAATTAGAGGGTATGCGTAAAAAAAATAAAAATAAGGGACACCCTAATATATATATAGTTACGTTAGTGTGTGTATTTTATCTAAGGGATCATGGTGAATTATTGTGTTTTTAATTGTAAATAAAATTCAAGAACTAAATCGTTGCATTTTCATGTTTAGCCAAAGGATCCAATTCGGTAAGTACATTTGTTGGTGCAGAATTAACTAATGATAACTTTACCTAATATAATTTATATTTAAGTTTGGAAAGAAATTAGTAAAAAATAATTTTTGCACAAACATAACCATTTTTATATTTGAGTTCTCTAAAAAACGCCGACAACTACATTTTAAACAACAAAATATACCTACGAATTCATGGCAACATAATATTATGTAAAATACATAATATAATGGAATTTTACCGTTGAGTGGAGACTTTAAAGAATTCTTAATCAACGCTTTTAATAATGCTAAATGCTGTTTAAATTTAGACGACTTATTTGTTTGACGATTTTTACTGAATGTTTACACTTTTTACGTTAATCATTACTAAAATGTGTATTTATTGTATCCAATAGATACAATTTATATTTACAGGGACTGTATGAAATTAATTGTTTCATTCGGATTAACACTGTTTATTGAAAAACCGATAAAAACTCAACCCAGGATTTCGTCTTGAAATACACCCAACAACACAAATCGTGGCACGGTTTTTTTTAGATATTTTTTAACATTTTCCGGCTTTATTCTCAAAAACACTCGTTTGTAACACACGCGTTTGACAACTGATTATCAAAAGTTGTACATTTGTTACGATGATAACAGCCGAGTGGTGGCGCTACTAGCGATACTTCTTTAGCGTATATGTCTCAATAAAGTTTAAAAATTATCCAATATTAGAAAATAGTTATCTTCTCAATTTGGACCATTACAAACGCATAACTTAATTTCGACTTTAAACAGTGGCCAGTGCCCTTCAAGAAGTTGTGATTTAACGTTATTAACTTAATATTGCATTGTGGTCGATTGTTTATAAGAATAAATTAGAGACAATTAAACCATTCAAATTGGATACTAGGCGCAATATTTCTGATGTAAAGTGCTATACAATGTCGTCCATAAAATTTGGTCTTTAAACTTACCATCCACATCAATAGCACAAGGATTACTCATTCCGATACTATTGTTGGCATAGCATAAGTAAGTCCTGATTGTGTCCACGCTTGAGTCCAGAATTAGGTAGCTGCTGAGTCCTTCGTGAATGGTGTTCGAAGATTCTACTGATGTATCGTTAAATTCGCGTACCTTCCACGTGAAAATAATCTCTTGGGGATTGGCTTTTGCTGTGCAAACCAAAGCTGAGTTACCATCTTTTTCGGTCATTATTATGGTACAACTTGGAGCAACTGAAATAAATAAAAATAATAATAAGGTATACTTTAAAAGGTTTTTCTTAAAACTTACATTGTACGTTAAAGTATACTGTAGCAGTGTCGACTCCATGTTTGTTTTTTGCTTCGCAAAGGTATGCTCCTGTGTCCTGTCGTTTCATTGCCCCAAGTCGCAGTTCTTCGCCATTTTGGATGGCTTCTGATGAAATATTCTTTTTCCATTGATACGTAAGGGCTGGATGACCTTTACCGAAACATTTAACTGGATCTGGCACTTGGTTTTCGATTACGTTTACCACTTTTGTGGAGAGCATTAAATCTTCAGGCGGATCTGAAACAAAGATATAAATAATATTTATAAAGTAAAATATTGTTATTTTGTAATGTAAAGTCTTGTTGAAATATAAGTCCTTAATCTTTAATAATGTTATCAAATGGATCGCTCCACTATTTACCGATAACCATGAATAAATGCAAGCATATAGAGATAAGGTTTGGCTCTTGTCCAAGCCGGGGCTTAAGAAAAAGCTAAAGTTGACACAATAGCCGAGTGATGGTTTTTATTTTATTGGAAAGTTCCTGTTCAAAGTGGACAAAGATACATAAAAGTATGAGACGAAGTTTTTGTTGATTATTTCTTTGAGTTATTTCATCGACTTAAATAATAATAAGCTTTTGTAACCTGACACTTTAATCCATTTTGAGAAATTTATATTGCAAATAATTTATGACAAATGTTTGAAGTAAGTACACTACTACAGTAGTAGGTTTACTGTGCGAATATTTTATTCTATTTACAAAACAACATTACGTTTTGGTTTTTATAAAAGAAACTAATACTTACAATCCACTGCTATCTCGATGGTAGAATTGACTCCATTTCCGTACTGATTGCCATGACTCTTACAGGTATAGTGTGAGTTGTATGAAGTTTTGTTGAGTTTGTTGCCGGGCCAACCCGTCATATTCCACACCTACAAAAAGAAATATAAATCACAATAGCTGCATTTTACACTTTATTTGCAGTACATGTTCACGAACAACTTTGCTTTATTGAAAATATAAAACTAAGGTTTTGTTGGGCTTAAGTGATCGCGATATTTTTTCTCGTAAGACATTTTAGGATTAATCTTAAGTGGACAATATTATATTTATTATATTATATCGACATTCTTAAGACGGTCTAAAGAAAATAATTTTTAGCTTATATTGATTCTCTTAAAACTTAAGTTGGCATTCATAAAACAGGGTGAATATTTTAAAACTGGCGATTTTCGGAACCATTTTCGTTAACACATAAAACATATGCAAATCTTATTAATTTTGCACTTTTAGGATTTTCCACTCATGAACATAGACATGAAGACTAAAAACGTAATTTTTTTTCTCTTCTTTAGAAAGTTGAACCCACGGTTTTACTTGGTCATCTCTTATTCTTCTGCTTGTCTTTTAGCTTAGTTGGTCAACTTGTTTCGTGGTTTTGTCATTTTAATTAATTTTTCACTGAAATGAAATATTTTAAATTGGTTACATATAAGGGACACGCCAATGACGAGCACGGTAATGATGATTTTAAGGTTAGAGTATTTTACAGGGCTCCCACGGCAAAATTACAAATTTTATTTAGGAATTTAGGAGGTTTTTTTGTAAAATTTTAGGAGAAATAAAGTATGGAAATGAATTTCTTTAATTAAATAAAAACAACTAACTCTACAGGGTGAGTTTTAAGTTGACGCGTTCCTTTTAACAGTGTGTAGAAATCAGCTAGGCAAATAAATATTTTAAGAAACTTTTTTATCAAAACTCAAAAATAAAAAAGTTATAGCCCATCAAAGTTTAATTAAATTTTTAGCCGGTCCTGGCTATTGTTAACGAAAAACATAACCATAAAAATATCAAAATAAACAATGCAAAATGTCATATTTGACAACAAACATAACCATTTAAATCAAATTGACATATTGCAATAAAAAATGTCATTATTTACTTAAGTTGCAGCATTTGCATTTTGACGACACTCTCCATAAATTAGCAACATTTTCACTAATTCATTATTGCTATAATTATAAACCATTTTTAACAATAATTGAGGCACAAAAAAACTGACATTTTTCATTGCTAAATGTCATTTTGATTTAAATGGTTATGTTTGTTGTCATAGATGACATTTTGCATTGTTTATTTTGTTATTTTTATTTTTATGGTTATGTTTTTTGTTAACAATAGCCAGGACCGGCTCAAAATTTAATTAAACTTGGAAGGCCTATAACTCTCTTATTTTTTAGGTTTGATAAAAAAGTTACTTAAAATATTTATTTGTTTATCTGATTTCTACACGCTGTTCAAAGGAACGCGTCAACTTAAAACTCACCCTGTATACCTACTACTTCAAAAATAAGAATAAAATTAATACCTACTTATTTTGTAAAAATAAGTTATATTGACTAGTTTTTTAGCCCAATCGCTCGACGAATTTTTTTTAAATAAAATTAAGTGAGGTAAAATTACTACTTTTGTATATATCTGAGGTACATATATATACAAGTATAAATTTCACCACACTTTTAATTTTATTTAAAAAAAAGCGTCCATAGATTTGGTTTAAAAACTATGCCAAAATCATATGATGTTATATTTATATTTTAAGAAAAATATGTTAACCGTTTAGTTAATAACTAACAGTAATAAATCGGTAAGATTAAGAATAGTACAAAAGTAAAATGTTTCATAAAATATTTAAAAAAATCAGTTTTATAGTTCTAAATGCATTTTTGTTAGACTATTTTATGAAATATAATATTCATATTCGGTAAAATAATTTTTATCTTCTCACAAAAATGTATTTTAAACTTTAAAATTGATTTTAGAAAATAAATTGTCAAAATTAAATTTTTGGACTTGTACTGTACACCGATTCAATTGTAATGTGTTAAAAATCTCATAACAAAATATGAAGTTTGCAAAATACAGCAAAACATTTTTTAGATTGTTTACTATTTTAGCTGTCATTTAAAAGAAATTTAAAAATCCTTTTGTTTGATATACACGTTTGTATAACACGGTATATTTTTGACTAAAAAACGAAATATCGTTGTTGTTTTTTAAGAAAAATTTTGGTTGTGATATTATATCATTTTAAAAAGAGTTTAATAGAATAGAACCTAAAAATATATATTTTTAAATTACTTTTTAAAACAGAATTTTTTTAGCAATACCTTAATTAAACGCAAGTCAGGTTGGAATATTTAAATTTAATTTTTAGGATTTTAAAAGTTTTAGGAGATTTATTGCCATTTTAGGAGAATTTTAGGAGTTTTCAAGATTTAAGTAAAATTTTAGGAATTTTATGAGTTTTAGGAGGTGTGGGAGCCCTGATTTTACAATGTTTATTCGAAAATGTAATGGAATTTTCAAGTTACAATTTGCTTTTTGTTAATGCAAGACTCCTTTGTATTAATGTAAATATTTTGTATGTACATGACCTTTGAAATACCCCGACAATGACGGACTTACACGACAAGCCGTTTTCGTTTTCATTCGGCGCACGTAACAACTTTATGGTTTGACGTTAGAAAGGCAGGATATTTACATATCAGACGTTCGAAAACTTCCGGCATTTTCCGAATGTATCGAGTATTTAAATATGAAATTAGACACATTTTAAGTAGCCACGGCAATGACGCTCATGGGTGTAAACAAAGTTTAAACGGCATTAAAAGAAAAGTTAACATTTTAAAATGCAATTTCTTGCTGGCATTGTATTATTTTGTATTTTCTTCGTCTGTGTTAGACAGGATATTGCAAGATTTAATTTGTAAATAAATGTAAGAAAATATTATGTTGTTGTTCTTCGAATGTGAACAAGGCGCGGTAATGACGTTTTCGACACAAAAATCAAAATATATTTTTTACTATGCTCGTTAAGATTAAAATAAGTAAGGAATCAAGTAAAAATAGTTAATTAAACTAGATATTAAGTAGTTTCAGTGGGATATTAACTTTTGAAATAACAAGCCAGAACCGATTGAATTACACTTTTGAAATAATCACCCATATCTCTTATAACATTTTTAAGACAGTTATAACTCATGGTTGCATTTTTAATTAAGAGGGTTTTATCCAGCTGAAGTTACATCCGTTTAAAATATAAAAAACAAAGTCTTGTATGTTTTTATTTAAAAAAGTTTTACCAACATAATTACCAACTTACTAATTTACTTCCGGTAATTGATTTGATTTGATCTATATGTTTCCTTAAACGATTTACTTGCTTTTAAAGTAATTGTAATTTCGTCAATTCGGTCGGTGGAAAACGTAATGGATTGATTTTTAAGGAGCAGTTAAATCAAATAAACAAAAATCTTACCAGAGTGGATTCGATGGATTCGAAGTCGTTTTTCTGCAAATCAGGCGGGTACAAGACCGTGGACAAATAGTAGAGCGGATTGCTGTTCGTATCCAAGTGTTTTCCGTCCTTCAGCCAGACAATGCTACACAGAGGCGAACACTCGACTCGACAGGTTAAATTTATGTTCTGCGACGAATATAAAATACCTTGATAAGGAGGAAGTTTCTGGATGAACGCCGGCGGAGCTGCAACGGACAAACAAACTGTGTAATTCGATATTTTGCTACGGTCTGAGCGTGCTACGATCAACGATAGGATCTTAGGAAGTCGATAATATGCTTTGCATATACAGCGTAAAAATTTTACCTACCAAATACATTTATCTCTCTGGTAGACGGTTCACTTTGGCCTCCTTCGTTTTGTGCGATGCAGGTAAAGTTGTTTTTCGTTTCCAAACCCACTTGCGGTATCGTAAAATTCGAACTTGTTATTTCGCTCATTTGATGAGAACCTCTATGCCAAATGTACGTGATGTTGTTGGGCCTTCCCTCATGATCCACCGAACAAATCAAGGTGACAGATGCACCTTTAATAACAATTTCCGGATAGAATTTCAGTTTTGCCGGACTTGGCGGATCTGAAACGCAAACAAAACTCGTTAAATACGCGAAACATAAACAAGGCAAAATAACTTACAATGCACGATTAACTCCTGCGGCTCGGAGAGGGGTCCCCATCCTGCGAAATTTTTACCCTGACAGGTGTAGTTTCCTGCGAATGTCTCGTCCACCCTTTCCAGGCTAAGGATGCTCGGATCCAGGCCACAGAAAGGACCCCCGCTTCCTTCGCCCACCCCATTCTCGTCCGTTGATGTATAGTTACATTCCGGAAACTCTTTCATCAGATCGCCGTCCAGGAACCACCGAACCTTTCAAAATTAAAATTTGATAATCCGGAAGTAATATCGGCTTCCTATTTAAATACCGCATATGGGTGATATTACATTAATTTTATCATTACTAATTATTTGAGAATTTAACAACAAAGTTAACTCTATTTTTGTATAATTCTGATTTCTACATCCTTATGTAAGTTGGCATTTTAAACACCATCCAGCTTGATTTGGTAAGATAGCGTAATAATTATATGTATGTGTAAAAATGTTATGGAAAATAAGCCAAGCAATATACTATATATGCGAAAATCGTCCATATTTTCTATGAAACCTTTGTACAGCAAAATTGTTTGTTTAAAGACGGTAATAAAATTTAATACCAAACTGTTAATATAAAGCTCTGAGTTTTAAGTTTTTTATTAAAATTTTCAATACGGACCATAAAAATTATGATCCATAAACGAGAACGAATGCAATTCATCGATGGTCGTAAACTTTTATGGATGTCTCCAAATTTAATGCATAGAAATCGTTTATTTAACTATCTGCCATAAGATGGAGGCTGCATGGTTTGCCACATTTAATATCACAATTGATTTAAATTATGCAACAAAGCATAAAATAAAATTTTTAATTAAATTTTAAAATATTATAATCACCATTATTAAATTTAAGTTTATAATACCTTCCTATTTGTTTGTACCTGCTAATAATAAAGTTTTTTCATATGAGAACTATGAATTTAATCGGTTAAACTAGGCTCAGTAGTTTTTTGTTTGGTTTTTCTTGGAAAATGTTGAATGCAAAATAATTTAATAAAATCACCCCGTATTTTTAATTATTTTGCATGAAACTATTTTCCAAAAAGAAAAATCAAATAAAAAACTTACTGAGCATAGTTTGACAGATTAAATTTATAGGTTGTGATATACGTCTAGATTATTTCTCGAATTAAAGGAAACTATTTGACAATTCATAAAATCTGACGTATGTCAAAATTTATAAATATTTTTTTTAAGAAAATTCCATTAATTTAAGATATGTAATAAGTAATAATTGATATTTCGTAAACTAGATAACTTATTTTTTATTGTTTGTTAAAACTTTTAAATAACACCATAAAATCGTAAACAAAAATCCAATATGGAGGCTAAAATTAAATCGCTGTTAAATAGTTGTAGTGATTTAATCGCTTTTTTAAAAGAAATTTATTCGAAAATTCAAGGCTTTTAATTGGTTCCTATTAATATATTAAAATGAGGGAAATCATTTTAAAATACTGTATAAAAGATGGTTAGAATATTTTTAATTTTCAAAAAAATAAAATCACTTTTAGCACATAATATATAGGGTGCACCAAGTATCCTTTTATGGCTGAGTATCTTTTTTAATTGAAGAGCTACTAGGTCGCGACCGGTCGGTTAACTCAGAGAAAAGTTGCGTAATTACAAGTCTTTTAAAATGGCATTTAAAAATTGGAAAAATAGGCGGTTATCAAAATATTAAAAAAAACCTAAAAACCATCCAAAACCAAAAATCGTTATAACTCCGTTAATCCTGAGATTTTTGAAAAAAGTTGGTTTCACATGTAAATATACACATTTATCTACATTTGTAAAAAATTTGTAAAAAATATACCCTTAGAAGTTTAGTTGGTGCATCCTGTATATAGATACAAATCAACGCATTTCTTACGTTATTAAGTTTATAAAATATCATTTTAAAATCCGATTGTCCTTGTTTATTGTTGCTAAGGTTTGTTAACAAGTAACTTTAACTTTCGTGACATGCTAATAAAGCAACTTTCTAGTTATTGCCTAGCAACAGTACGCGTTTCTTTAAAATTGTTTCGTGATCTAAAAAATGTTTGTGGCAAGTTTAGTTAAGATGTGCATTTGCAGAAAAGTCCAAAATGTTGAAATCGTCATCGCTTTGGTCAAATTATTTCATGTTGAATGCAATGGTGAACACAAAGAATCATGACATAAGTAAATATTAGAAGCTTGTTGCTTTTTTAAAGGAAAAGGCCGATAGATGGGCAAATTTTCGTTAAATGTACATTTGCTGTCCCCAGCTAATTTTATTTGTTGATAAGTTTTGTATTTATTATTTAAATACCCCCTTTCTGTTAGGACCCATCGTATTTTTTTTTAATTACTTTGAGTTTCTATAAATGGCAGAAAAAGTAGGTAAAATGTCCTGTAACCCAACTGTCCCCAGAGGGGATTTCTTAATTTAAATTATTATATTCTTCTTCTTTGCAGCTTCTTCTGAAAAAATAAATTAATTTTGAACAATGAAAAGTTCTTTTATTCGTATATAAAACTAAAATAGTTTCTACAAAGTAGTTTAAACAAAAAAAAATATTAAAGTTGGCATTCAAAAATCTTGTCTTTTTCCTAACTTCGTCTTCTATGCCGACTGCTTCGAAATAGAGACATTATTATATTTCTAGAGGGCATCCAGTTTGATAGTTCGGCAACAACAAGTGAGCACGTGTAAAGTGTGTGCATTTTTTTTTTGTAAATATTTTAAAGGTAAAATTTTTTTGCGTACACTTTTTGGTGTCTTTACAAAACGCTACATACAACTCTTGTTTTAGAAGTTAACTTTTTATTTTCCTAACTTCGTCTTCTATGCCGACTGCTAGAGACATTATTATATTTCTAGAGGGCATCCAGTTTGATAGTTCGGCAACAACAAGTGAGCACGTGTAAAGTGTGTGCATTTTTTTTGTAAATATTTTAAAGGTAAGATTTTTTTGCGTACACTTTTTGGTGTCTTTACAAAACGCTACATACAACTCTTGTTTTAGAAGTTAACTTTTTATTTTCATTTAGTATTATAGCATAGTAGAAATGCCAAACAAATGCCGAAAGATATTTACATTTAACAGTATTTCTGAAAAATAACATTTGAAAAAGTCAAAAGCAATGCGTCATAAAACCTTTAGGAAGATGCGTTAGGATGAGGACAATGTTTCATTTCTTCCTTGTGTTCCTTCCCTATCTCAGATTAACCCTATAAGTTTTATTTCTTTAAAGTTTAATTTGTTATTTATAAACTTCTAGATTTTTTTGCAGTCTATTACACTGTTCTATCACAAAGGGAAAAAAATCGATCAAATTGACCTGCCAGGACAAAATATATATACAAAATGTACATTTAACAAAAATTCGCCCAGATATGGACGAAAAAAGTCAAAAGTATTGACCAAGGAACAAATCAACAAATTTCTCACAGAAGCACAGTTTTAAAAATATATTACCTTATTTACCATTAACACCATTGCCTTAAAATTACATTTTAGAAACTAGAATTTTTTAGACGTTTGTAAAAAAACTTTAATTAATATTTACCTTATACATGGTAAATCTTATTTTTAAATTTGAAATAACTCTAATTGAGGCTGCGCGTCATTTTAAAATGTGTGCTCGTGATGAAGGTCATTTTTTAGGCTTAAAAGGCTATTACAAAACAACTCCGCGTGGAGGTTTTTCTTTGCTCATCATGGCTTAGGACACATTTATTTTGCTCAATTAGTAAAATTAATTAAGACACAGTTTTCTGGTGTTCTTCCCTTTTCGGCGTTGTATTATACGTCTCCTTAAATTTCTTTACCCAATTCTATCTCACCTAATTTTACTAATGCTAATGGCTTTTACGCAAAGAACGCGATCTTCAACCGTGAAGCGATCCATAGTACCAACCAAAGAAAGACCTTCATCATGAGCACAAAATTTTAAATTCTGCGCAGTCTCATTTCAAGTTATTTCAAATTTAAGAATAAAACGGGACACTGTATAATTAATATTTTACATTGAATGCTTTGCTTTGTATTATATAAATAATTTAATTCAATTTCATGAAATTATTGTTTTTTAATCTTAATATTAAAATTAAAGAAATATGCAATTATAAATAATGTAAAGCGTATTATTTCCGAGTGGTATGCTGCATAGATAATATAATTCAAATTAAAAAGCTCATATTTAAATGAAATGAAAAATAAAAAAAATGTTTTAATGAACATTACTTTTAATAAGGACGATGGATTTCCCGATGTAACGTTACACAACAGCATTACGTTGCTCCTCTCCACTGATTTAATGGGCAAAGAAGGCTCCATAATTACATTCACGTCTGGTGGATCTGAAAATTATGAAAATGTAAGATGCAATTGCTTTTAACGACACGTACCGCCTTTAACAGATAACTGAGTGAAAAGTATTTCTCCCATTTTAATCATACTCTTTATTAATTAAAAGTTCAAAAAGGGCGGTATCTCCTAAACCATTACAGAGTTATTTTTTATATGAATTTAATAACTAACTCTATTACTTCTTGTTAACCTTACCAAATTATATACGGGGTGTCACTAAAATTCTTAACTGAAACTAATATGATGTTTGTATTTATACAAAATATTAATTACTATTCGATACAAAATTTGTACATGATCTGCAAGTTTTCCAGGATTTTATTTCTTTTTAAACGGAACGAATACCCGCATTCTTCATAACTATACAACTAAATAATACTGATAAAGAAAGTAGAATCTACAAGTAAATACAAAATATAATTTAATACATAGATAAAGGGTGTCCCATTAAGACCGCCTATTTTAAATTTAGTGTAATTTTTTTTGTGTGTTGAAGAAATCGTGCATTTTTTGTTCACTATAACGCACCTTCTCGCCGTACTGTGGTCCGATTATAATCGAGCAATTTAAAACGATTGGGTCAATTCAAACCAAAAAGAGACATATCCATGTTCGTGCAGCTCGGTCTGCTGAAAATATTGCAGCAGTTAGTGAAAGTTTTAAACATCGAAGCAGTTTACAGCGAATTTTGGCCAAAGACCTGCATTTTCATGCGTACAAGATTCGGTTGACACAATATTTAAAGACAGCAGACCATGCACAGCAACGAAACCATGAAATTATTGAGGACAAAATTTGAAGGCAGAGTTATCTCGCGCCGCGAGGATGTGATGTGGCCAGGCCGATCATGCGATTTGACGCCGTTAGATTTCTTTCTTTGGGGTTTTTTGAAGGAAAAGGTTTATGCTACCCAAGAATAGTTCATAAACTGAAACAGGAGATTCGATGGGTCATTGATGAAATTGAGCCGGCACTATGCCAAAATGTAATCAAAAATTTTGTCAAAAGAATCAACGTGTGCCGTCAGTCACGAGGCGGCCATTTATCGGATATTGTGTTCCATATTTAACCCCCATGTCTTCCCTCTTTATTGCAATAAAAATATCTTAACTTTTTAAATAAACACGGCATTTTTTAGGTGCAGTGTTGTTGGCATTTATTGCTCGTGGAAGAAAACAATAAAATATTTAAGACAAAATATGCAATTTAGAGGGTTATACGAGAGATCTGGCTTCAAAATTGCGTGTTGTCTCCTAAAAAATTAATTACCTAATTACTGGTAAAGATAATGATTGAGGTGTTTATGGAAGCCAAGCTTTTTTTACTAAAACGACAGACACAGATGTTTCGATTGCAAAACAGTTTATTAAATGGGTAAGATTAAGGGCAGTACAAGTTCAAAAGTTAAAATTTTGACAAAATATTTAAAAAAATCAGTTTTATAGTTCTACAAGCATTCTGTAAGAATATTTTAACTATTTTATAAAATACAATATTCATTTTCTGTAAAATGATTTATATCTTCTCACATCTTCTCAAATGTATTTTAAACTTAGAACTTAGAACTTTAGAAAATGACTTGACAAAATTAAATTTTTGGACTTTTACTCATCTTATTCTTACTGATTCAATTAATAGTGCAATTATGTTAATATGGAAAAGACAATTGACAAAATTCAATCAATTATTATTAATTTACTCAGATCTGGAAAATTAAACAACGAAATTTTAATATTACTAGGCTCTAAATAAACTTCAAAATATGAATTGAAGTCTAAATTGACACACGCTGAACATTGTCTAAAAGGCGTGCTAATTACCAAGAGTTGAGTACTCTGGAGTGAGGCTGTCGAAAGACGTGTTTGCAGAAGCAGAAGCAAGAAAACTAGGATTTGGTACAATTTAAAGACAACCCAGGATTAAATGGTCTAAAGACCATCGCAATTTGTATATGAAAAGGTGGAATAGTGTACATTGGAGCGACAAGTCGCAGCTTAAAGTTGTGTCGGTGAAAGCCGAAGCAGAGTTATGAGTCAAAAATATTAAACCTATCCTGAATGTCTTAATTAAGCGCAAAGTTAAATTTACATCGTCGGTAATGATCTTGGGTTTAATGTCAGCTAGATATTTGGACATTTTAGAGGAGTCGTTGTTGCCTACATTGAAAGAAAGCAGAATTTCTGGAAATTACTTTACCTAAAATAGGCTATAATTTTAGAACTAAAAATTACAATTGTTTTCTTTTTCAGTTCAAATTGTTGTAGGGTAAAGTAGACAGTTATCGAAAACTATAGTTATTGGACAATTAACATTAATACTGTAAAAACAAGAGTTACCTTAAAGTCAAATCATTAGATGACGCTGTATACAAAACATATACTTAAACATTGTCACTTTAATGCGTTTTAATTTTAATTCTGAAAACAAACAGTAAAATGGCCAGTGTCCAATTATTGGTTGGTAAAAAATGTAAATTTCTATTATTGGACATATATGTCCAATATCATACTCTATTGGTATCCTGGACATTTACCAGCCAATTCTTATGTAAAATTGTCCCCTGAATCTAAAAAGACTGTTAAAAAATATAGGTAATAGTTAAGCAGTTTTTGATATACGTATAGTCAATTCCATATTATAAGTAAAATTGATTATATTTCAAAAACTGTCCTACTTTTATAACTTTTGACGAAATTTTCGGATTAAGCAAATAATATTTCATAGGAATTGACTGCTAAATTCTTAGTGGCTGCTTTTTCGCTATGACATTTTTGACTAATTCATTTTTGGAAAGTAAGTAATATAGTGATTTCTTCGTCACAGGAAATCTTGCAGAATAACAGTGATTTAAATACAGTCCATGATAGAGAACATAAAAAACTAATGGCAGCAAAAGTAATAAATTCGGAAAATACTTTTAACATATCACCCGAAAAAATAATATATATATACGAGGTGTGTTCAGAAAATAACGGGAATTCTTAAATTTCGCGGGTTCGGAGGGTCAGATTGTCATAAAATGTTCTTTATTATGTTGGTATACATGCCCCCGAAGTATGATAAACACTTTAGCTGTTTTCATTGTTTACTTTGTCTGTGGCAGCCGCTAAGGTTAGACGTGTTTTATAAGCTCGGCGATTTTTCGTTCGTTAAAAGAAATTGATCAAAGAATTTGTATCCAATTTTGCTTAAAAAATGAAATAAATTCTGTGAAATGTTAACAAAGGCCTATAGTGAGTCTGCTATAAGTAAAACAAGAGTTTACAGGTGGTATAAGAGTTTCCAAGATGGCCGTGAAGACGTTGAAGATGACGAACGCCCCGAACGCACAAGTACATTAACAACCGATAAAAACATGTAAAAAGTGGAATAAATGGTTATAAACCATCAGAGAAGTCGCTGATGATGTTGGTATATCGATTGGCTCATCCCATGCAATTTTTTCGAATGTTTTGGGTATGAAACGCGTGGCAGCAAAATTTGATCTTAAATTGTTAAATTTTGAACAAAATTTTTGGCCAAAAACAATACCCCAATGATGCCCCAGCGTCCACATTCGCCAGACATGCCTCTGTATGACTTTTTCCTATTGTGAAAAATAAAAAGAACCTTAAAGGGCCGTCGTTTTGCAAGCATAGATGACATTAAAAGCGCGTTTTAGAAGTGTTTCGAGTATACTCGAATATATACTCCAATATATTGGAAGAAGAGTTGGCACATGTGCATAATATCCAATGGAGACTATTTTGAAGGCGACATTAATGTAGATGAAAAAACGAACATTTCCGATATTTTCTGAACACACCTCGTATAAATTATCCTGTTCCGGACTGAACATTATAAATGCTTCACAAACTAAAGATACCACACTTAATGATATTTGCAACAAACCATTTCAGAAGTCATACAAAGGAATTACCAGTTACCTTCAGAATCCAGAAAAGGGATGAGGAATCCGAGAAAGAAATATATAAATTATACACAGACCTAGGTCTGTGAAATTATATGATATTTACAAAAACGAAATAAAAAAATTACCTAAATCTATCTATCTTTAAAAAATATTTAAAAATTTATATTATTTGATGTAAAGTTTTTATGTTTATATAAAAATTGTATGTTATTTTTAAAATAAAATATAATAATTATAACTCTGTTAGTTTAAATAATCTTTAGAACAGACCAATAAATGATACTTTAACATGGCTCGTTCGTTTTTTACGAGTCTCTGTTTTCAAAGAGTCTTAGTATCGCCGATTGAAAAAGCTGGTTTGATTTAGTCTAAAATGGCATTTTCATATAAAAAGTTTTCATACATTTCGGTTTTCCTCAAAATGTCATCTTCCTCGACATAATTTTTTTTATTGTCTATTATAAGAATTCTCTAGAATTCTCATTTTTTAAATTTTCCTTAAAATTCAGCCTTTTTGGACATTTTTTCATATAAAATCATGTTCCAAGTTTTGGCAAGGATTTAGTTACACCCTGTATAGTTTGGTTTAAAACAAGAATTGATACTTTCCCTTAAGTTTAAACAACATTTAACTATAATAAGCTTAAACTATATGACTTTGAAAAAAATTAAAAATACTTACATTGGACATTTAAAAATATACTGGTGGGCGATTGTTCGGACCCGACTTCGTTCATGAGGAAGCAAGTGTAGTGTCCCATATCTTCTCGCGTGATGTTTGTTATTATCAGAGGTGGGTTTTCGATGTTTCCGCCCGAGTATTTGTTGGGGTCGGACAAAGACATATTTTTACCGTCTTTCGACCAAACGACACCTTTCAGCTCCTGCGGATTGGCGAAATAGGTGCAGGTCAATAGTAACTCGTTTCCGACCGACGATGAGGTCATCTCGGTGCGAGTTATGTTCGGCGGGGAAACCGACACCACCGGAGGATCTGAAATGGAAATTACATTTTAGGGAAAATCAATAAGTTTAGAATGTATATTTTAAAATTTGTTGATGCGTACGAACTTTGACTGTATTTGTAAACTATTTAAGATTATGTAGATATAAAAACAATTTTGTTGTAAATTTTCACGAAATTTATTAAATTTTGACAGCTGTTTCGCTACACAGTAGCTTCTTCATTCTGAAGAAGCTACTGTGTAGCGAAATAGCTGTCAAAATTTAATAAATTTCGTGAAACTTTACAACAAAATTGTTTTTATATCTACATAGTTAATATGGAGTTTCATCAAGTAAAGGTCGAAACAATTAATAACTATTTAAGAATTAAGAAAAAATCTTTCAATAAATATATCCAGAGCTAATATAGGGGATTATTTATTAGTTACATCCTCTGTATCTTTAAATACGGCTTCAATTCCTTCTAGCACGCTCCTTAAAAGTGGGAAACATAATTTTGACATTAAGGTATAGACTAATGGACAATCTAATATTTTGTGTTAAACAATTTTTAGTGCTAGGTCGTCACCATAGTTGGCAATAAGAAGTCATTTATGATATGCTGGTGTCTTGGAAATTGACTATGTTTTTATTAAGTTAAACATTTTATTTTTCTCTTTTAAATCACTGCCCTAGCAAATTGCACTGTGACAGTTTTTGAAGCTCTTTATTTTTTTTTGTACATAAAATTATATACAAGAACCACTGTTGTAAAAGACATCAAACCATACGCAACTTGTATCCTGTATCCTGTATCCAATTAATCTTGGATTTGGCCCAACCAAACTGTTACATTTTTGTCACTTAAGGTAGTTGTCGTGCTACCATCAAGATTGTATAGGCTTTCTGTAGTTCTGTACCAGTTTCTTAGTTATAAAAGAAAACTAACTGTCAGAAGCTTTCAAAAAACTAACAGTCTTTTAATGTATTTTTGCTGAGTTTAAAAAAAAAATAATTAAAAATTTTTGACCGTCCAATTGTTTATAAATAACCGTTTAAAGTTCAACAATTTGTAAAAAGTATCCATCACTAGTGTCAGATAAAAACAACTTGGCAACGCTGTACGCGAGTATAGATATTATTATTTCCGCAGTAAATTCAAACACTGATTCAGTCTCCAATATTCCAATATTGGTTGAGCATAAGCGACGTTGCCGGATTAAAACTTATGAAAATATTTGAAAGTATTACGTATCGTCTCCAGGGTACAGTCTTGCGAATAAATTATGATTCACTTAGCTACAAGCTCGTATACTTTTACGGTGCGTATAATCTAAAAATTTTTGACAATATTGTACCACGACAACTACCTTAAGGTAATTTTTAAAAAATAAAACTAATAAGTACCTAATTATTAAACTATGCCACCAGTTTTGATTATAAAGGATTGCGTTTATATTGAATATAATATAATTTAATACAATTATTAGGTATTATTAATGCAATTTAAAAATATATACGGGGTGTCTCAGAAGGTGTATTATCTACAAACCACCAGGAATCCCAAAAAAAATGTTTAAAAAAATTTGATTGATTAGGTACTGCTCTGATGCTATTATAAATGTAAGTACGTTTTAGCACATCGTTTAACAAATAAAACTGTGCCTTGAAGAAAAAATATTGTATACCATTCAGCTTCATGTTCTCATTCTCAGCATGGCATAATTAACTATTGACGTTTACAAATTATATTTTAAGTATAAAATAAACTAGGATATAATATTTTCGTGAAACACTCTCTAAGTTTTAAAATAATTTCATAACAATAACATTAAGCTCATTACTTTACAACTATCCTTCCAATATAATAAATTATAAATAAGACAGTTTAAGAATTAGGGGCGGCTCCAGAAAACTATTTAGTGGGGAGGGGTTTCAAATTATTAATGTACTCTCTTAAAATGAAATAGTTAAAATTCTACAATTTGAATTAGTACCAGCATTTTTAAATAATAAAATAGTCGTTTTCACTTTTAAATAATTATTTTTATTACTTAAATAGTTAAAGTTTAACTAATTTAAGATCAGTCATTATTTTTGACCATTTCTGAAATTAAAAGTAACTAATTTCTTTAATCGTTTGCGGCCAACAACAAATTATTGAGTTAAATGCATATAGGCTCCATGGTTAAATGGCCCATAAAAACAAACAAAGATGCAAAAAGTTTAGCTCAAAACAGCAACACAAAAATATATTCAACTTTAAAATATTATGAGCAATATTTATGGACGAAAAAATTTGATTTAAAAAAAAGTGACTGATGGCTCATTGGTTATAACTTATTATATGTGATTATGTAATAATATTTGTACTAATAGAGGAACAGGAAAGTCTTATGCAGTTGAAGTTGAATCGTTCAATAAATGCATTATATTTGATACGACAGCAAGTAATACGTACTGGTCTTCACATCGGAAAAAAAAAGTCTTAAACGTCAACTGGATTGTTGGACTATTAAACCGCTCTCAGAAACCTTACCAACTATTGATCAAACTGCTTAAAGCGCAGCTGATATTGGCGTGTTTCAGAATTATCTATTTAATAGTTTGAAAAAAGAAATACTTAAAAAAACATGAACCACGAGAAGATTATAATTAAAAGGACTTTTAAAGCTTTTTGTAGACACAAAAACTAAAGAAATGGCTAAAAACCTAAAGCGTCCAAAATTGTCTGAGTTAAATCAATAATTTAACTAAGAAAAATGATCTTACAATTCGCAATTTTATTACTGAAAAGAACATCTTCTTTATTGTCATTATTGTTAATTATTAAGTGAAATGTAAAAGTAAAGAATTCCTGAGTACCATCTGAAAATTTTCATTAAATTTTGTAAAAAGTATTGCTAATGATACTGCATGCAGAACAGGGAATCAATCTTATTTAATCATCAATCAATCTTATTTAAAAATACATTGACCAAGGACAAAAAACATATTTTTGATTTTAGTTTTTGGTATTTTTAATTTGCCCAATGTTAGATATCATAAATTAAAAAAAAAACTTGTGGAGACAAAATATTTCAAACTTTTCTTTTTGGACTACTTGTACATTATATTGATACTTTGTATGTTTATTAAATGAGTACGCAGCATCTATTAGCTAAGTTAAGTGTAATTTTTTAATTTAACCACCCCTCTAAATCCGCCACTGGACATAATATAAAGTTGTTGGTGCATGTATATTTTTTACCGTAAAAACTTGTAAATGATTACTTAGTTTCCTAATATTAACATAAACGTACAAAATACTTTTAAAAAGTTCCTAAACAAGATCCATTACTTCGAAATAAATTTCCTCGTACATTTCTTGCACATAAATGCAGATAGTTTAGCTTAAACTTTTTACCACTGCTCCATGAATGTACCAATTTAACCGCGCTGCCTCACTTTTGTGGCGTTTAATAGAAATAAATGCTTTTTATACTTACATCTGACTTCCATGGTAAGTAATTCATGAAATTCGGGTTCTTTACGTCTCTTCAGCACTTCATTTTCTGCGTAGCAATGAATTATCCTTCCATTTTCCCATTGGCTCGCCTTAAAAGTTAATGAACTTTTCGTCGTGAACGTTCCGTCGCGCTGAAATAAACCAAGATGGAAAATTAATATTATGCACGAAAGGTATTTCGAGATGCATTTTCAATGCAATTGAAGATGTCTTGGAGTCGTCAAATTCGTATTTAACGGTTAATCATTTAACGTTAAAGCGCTTAATGGCATTCATATAAAAATATTAATTAAGCATTGGAATCTTAAAACTATGTCATGCATATAAGCTTTCTTAAATACGAATATAAGCAATGAAGATAATACGTATGGTAAAATGACAACGATGAAAGAAGTTGGATACTCGTTTTTATGAAGTAAAATATATCAATATACACAGGGTGTTACTTAATGCAAAAAGTTTATATAAACATGGGTTAGCAAATGCTTTGTTTTTAAGATATCTTAAATATCCTTTACCAAATTTTGATGTTTTTGGCAGTGTTGTTAGTAGTGTTAAGGGGTAATTTATCTCCAACTTGATTAAATTTATTAAGTCCAGAGTCGTCCCGAGCGGCACCTTTACACACTTTTTTGATAAAAAAAATGAGGTACGCCACTGACTTTTGTATTTTTTTGGATTAGGCAGCTTAAATACAACTTTTTTATCTCTTGAATTTTGTTTGCGAGAAAAAAACCCTTAATTGCATATCCCTAGACCACACAATATATGCATTTAAGTGGATTTTATTTTTTTTTTTCGAAAAATAAGCAAATACGAAAAAAATTAAGAGGCAAACAAGTTGTAATTTTAGTTGCTTTTGAAAGTAATTTCGAAATAAAATTCATCCGAATGGAAATGCCATTTCTCAAGAGTCACACTATACTTTTTCTAATTTAGTACAATACCATAACCACAGATTCGATGACAAATGTTAGTGTCCATTAATTTTTAAGAAAATAATGAACCACCATATAATCTTTATAGTAATGTTAACCTTCATTAGACATCGTTAATTTTCCTGAAATAGAAGACACCCTGGGGTCAGACAGACCCTACATATTTTTAGAGAATATATGGAGCCTAAAAATATTTAAGAAAAAAGTAGGTATCAAATAACATCTTAAACAAATACACAACAATTTTTTTTAGTTGCTTATCTATTGTGCAATAGGAATGTACTTGCAAAAGTTATATATAAATTTGTCCCATATTTCCCTAACCGGAGCTAGTTTATCGTTGGTCCTCCGCTCTTGTCTGGTTTCTTTGTCGTCGAATCGAAGACAAGATGACAAAAATTTTAATCTGTTTTGTGATATTGCTGCTCTATTGCTATATTTATTTGATCACAATTCATCAGTGCTTGATTTTGATGATTTTCTTACACCAGATAAAGACTCTTAGAAGGCTGTTCTTCTTGCATGTCTTCATCACTCTGCTCACTTTCTGACCCCTCTTGTTCTTCCAAATAGTCGGAATCTTCATCTGTGTCATCGTCACCAAAAATATTTTTCTCAGTATCCTCTTCTAACAAGATTTTATTAATTTGTTAACGGAAAAAAAAACTTGAGGCTTAAACGCCGCCTCTTATCCCAAGAACTGCTGGCTTCATCCATAATGATTTTTTTAAACCAAAATACAATTCAGCAATAACTAATAGTTAGTAAAACTAAATAAACTACTCACATAATTAAAATATTCAAAAAATTAAAGATCTTTTGTAATGACAAATAAATAACGTTAAAGACACCTTGGTGTCAGGCGGACCCCGCACAAACTTTAACTGACAGTTGAAAGCCTACTAATTCAAATATCAACTAACGCTGCAGACTATATATGGCCAACATGTTAACTTAAATTTACACGAAAGGGCAGCACAACTTAGCGATTTATATAAAATCTTTTTAAAGTTGTATAAAGTCAGGGGTATATCTGACCCCACGGTGTCTTACGAAGGTTAAATACCACCATGAAGAAAATCCCGTCGTCTCATTGGAAAGTACTCGTGGAGAAAGATAAATTTTCTCTACAGTTTAATAATACTAAACTATAGTCTTTAAGGCTTAAAAGCCACTTTCTTCATTGAAAACCGTAGGAAATATACAAATTCTTTAATATGATTAGAAAAATGTATTTCTTGTTTATACTTTTTTTGAAATATCTTTGAACAACAAAATTATAATTTAAAGAAAAACCGAGCCATTTTACTAAAAAATTTAAAAAATAATTAAAACTCGCGATGATGTAATTATTACTTGTATTTCAACAAAAGTAGAAAAAAATAACAAAATTAAAGAAAATGTTTTATTTTTTAATAATCATTTCATTATTTTTGGAAAATTATATTATAAATTGCCGCCTCTAAAGCTTCTGCAGCAACCTATCTTGCTAAGGTAATTTTAGAATACTTTTTAAAGATTTTGGGCGGAACCTTGGCTGGATTACCGTTAATTCATCGCGCGACAATTTATCGTGCGACAATTCATCGCGATCAAAATTATTTATAATACCTACATAGAAAAAAATAATTTAAGGATTTATTAAATTTTGGAAATTTATCAGTAAATGTTAAAAATTATTACATTTGTGACATAAAATTCTGGACAATTTCCTAGTTACTTCGATCGTAGCTCTTCGTTATATGTACGAGGTGTGTTCAGAAAATAACGGGAATTGTTAAATTTCGCGGGTTCGTAGGGTCCGGTTGTCATAAAATTTTCACTTATAATACCACAAGAGCTTCAAAATTATCGGGTATTTTTCCCGATAGGTTCGTTGCAAACAAATGAAGGAGTCAAGTTTTTCAGGTTAAAAAATCACGAGCGCGAAGCGCGAGTGATTTTTCCTGAAAAACTTGACGACTTTATTTGTTTGCAGGGAACCTTGAGGGAAATGCCAGATAATTTTGAAGCTCGTGTGGTATTCGGGGGATTATTTTTCCGTCCCAAATGTCGGCCAATAGAATTGCACCATGTACAGTTAACAAATAAGAATTTCATAATGAATAAAACAACATTTAATTAAGATTTAATTTGTTTTTTATATATAGCAACTACCAGAGAAAATTTTCAAAAAATTATCGCTGTAATTCGCTGTAGGTTCCCTCAACAACAATGCCTCAACAATGTCCCAACAATACAGAGAACTGTCAAAAAAAATAATCACTAGTAATACCACTAGAGGTCAAATTATTTCCGGAAATTTTTTCGAGCTCATGAATATTTTGAAAATTATCCCAAGTCAAAGACGAGGGATAATTTTCTAAAAATATTCATGAGGGAGAAAAAATTTCCGGATTTAATTTGACCTCGTGTGGTATTCGGTAAGAAAATTCCACACCAAATTGTGTTTAAATAATTAAAATTTATTTTTTGATTTAACTTGACCTTGACTTGATTATTTAGTTACCATGGCAACTAAGTCAACCCCAACCTAAAAGTTATTTCAGTTTTGAAGCTGTCAAGCGGCACGACGTAAAAAAATGTGAAATTGTCTGCTGTAATGATCAATCATCGTGCAATGACTTATTTACCCGCATTATTAGAGGATTGTGGCTCCTACTTGAAGAAAGAAAATTTGTTTTGAATTGTTCACGAATATTTGCATCTTAACTATTCAAAACTCAAAGTGCTAAATGGAAAAAAAGGTGAATAGAATAGTGTCTAAATATTATATATATTTCATTAGACATAGACATTTAATTTATTTCAAGTCCTGCATTTTCGCCATTAAGAAGAAAGGAGGTGTCCAACGAATATAGAAAATATCTAAACTTTGTAATGGAAATGTATCAAAATTATCATGTAAACAAATAAAAACCAGATTGTCAAACAAATATTCTGTCATTATAAACGTCAAAAAATTTTCACTAGTAATACCACTAGAGGTCAAATTATTTCCGGAAATTTTTTCGAGCTCATGAATATTTTGAAAATTATCCCGAGTCGAAGACGAGGGATAATTTTCTAAAAATATTTATGAGGGAGAAAAAATTCCCGGATTTAATTTGACCTCGTGTGGTATTCGGTAAGAAAATTCCACACCAAATTGTGTTTAAATAATTAAAATTTATTTTTTGATTTAACTTGACCTCGACTTGATTATTTAGTTACCATGGCAAGTCAACCCCAACCTAAAAGTTATTTCAGTTTTGAAGCTGTCAAGCGGCACGACGTAAAAAAATGTGAAATTGTCTGCTGTAATGATCAATCATCGTGCAATGACTTATTTGCCCGCATTATTAGAGGATTGTGGCTCCTACTTGAAGAAAGAAAATTTGTTTTGAATTGTTCACGAATATTTGCATCTTAACTATTCAAAACTCAAAGTGCTAAATGGAAAAAAAGGTAAATAGAATAGTGTCTAAATATTATATATATTTCATTAGACATAGACATTTAATTTATTTCAAGTCCTGCATTTTCGCCATTAAGAAGAAAGGAGGTGTCCAACGAATATAGAAAACATCTAAACTTTGTAATGGAAATGTATCAAAATTATCATGTAAACAAATAAAAACCAGATTGTCAAAAAAATATTCTGTCATAAACGTCAAAAAATTTCCAGTATAATTCGCTGTTGGGTACCCACGAGGAAAAAATTTCCACTTAAATTCAACCGTTGCCATGGTGATCTATCAAAAATACACGTTTTGATTGGTTAATAATTATAGGTGTGGAATTTTCAGTATAATTCATAGATAACAAAGCCTTAATAATAATAATAATAATTCGCTGTTGGGTACCCACGAGGAAAAAATTTCCACTAAAATTCAACCGTTGCCATGGTGATCTATCAAAAATACACGTTTTGATTGGTTAAAAATTACAGGTGTGGAATTTTCTTTATTATATTGGTCTACATGCCCCCGAAGTATGATAAAAACTTTAGCTGCTTTCATTGTTTACTTTGTCTGTGGCAGCCGCTACAGGTGTTTTTATAAGTTTGGCGATTTTCGTTCGTTAAAAGAAATGGATCAAAGAATTTGTATCCAATTTTGCTTAAAAAATGAAATAAATTCTGTGAAATGTTAACAAAGGCCTATAGTGAGTCTGCTATAAGTAAAACAAGAGTTTACAAGTGGTATAAGAGT